GGGTAGAAATATTTCCATTGCGCACAGCCAAGACACCACAAATAGCGCGGATTCTTGTGGAGGAGATTTTTACCAGATGGGGTACACCCACATACTTGGTATCAGACAGAGGGGTACAGTTCACATCTCAATTACTCCGGTCAGTCTGCAAGCAATGGGGGGTTATTCAGAAATTAACAACCGCTTACCACCCGCAAACCAACCTTACCGAAAGGGTTAATCGGAACCTCAAAACCATGATTGCCTCTTATGTTGGTGATCAACATCGACAATGGGACAAATGGATAGCAGAGTTTCGTTTTGCTCTTAATAGTGCATGGCATGAGAGCACAGGTTTCACCCCTGCAGAGATTGCATTGGGACGGAAATTGAAGGGACCCATAGAAAGAGCCATCCACAAACCCCCTGATCCAGATAACCCAGCATACGTTCTTCTTGACAGACAACGGCAACTCATCGACTTGGTGAAAGCTAATGTTGAACGAGCCCAGGAAAAACAGCAAAGGTACTATAATCAGCGGCATAAACCAGTGCAGTTTTTGGTGGGAGATGTGGTTTGGGTCCGGACCCATCCTCTTTCCAGAGCAGACGAAGGGTATATGGCTAAGTTGGCAGCAAAATGGAAAGGCCCTGCCAAGGTGGTAAAAGTACTTGGACCTGTTAATTGTTCTGTGAGGTACATGGATAATCCTGATATTGTGGAAACTTTACATGTACAAAATCTGAAGCCATGTTACGGATATAGATAGCCTTTTTCTGAGGGGGAGGGTATGTAACAGTTTTGACCTGTCACAATAGTTGTCCCTTGGTATGTAAGGCTTAGACCTGACACTAGGGGGAGGTAGTGGGCTTATTGATTTTGGATATCAGTAAGGCAATGATAGAAGAAGTGAGATTGGTTTGGGAACAAACAGCATTGTGCTTGTGTGCCACTCTTAAGAGTCCAGACTGGGAATCTATGGGATTTTCTGCTCAGTCAATGTAAGATTTGCTGTTTGTTTGTTTTATTCAAGGTTATTTTTGGCCTCTGTGGATGCACTTATAGTATGATGATCTTTGTTTGTTTGTTTGTAGAAGGACTTTTTAGTCCTTACTGATAATATCCAGGAGGATTGTTCATCAAAAGAACTGTTTAACCTGAGGACACCCTACTGCTACCTCCTTGATATCTGAAGGGTTGACGGACAAGGAGAAAAGTCTAGTTGTTCGAATGGTTTATGATGAATTGTATCGGACTGATTCCAACCATGCCGTTTGTAGACTTTCGTGCACATAAGTACAGCAGAATGGACTTTTCTATCCATCCAGATAAGAACTTTAGTTCTGCTAGTTTTGTTGATATGTGACTTGTTCCTTCCATGTTGAAATGTTTTGACTCTGTTCATGATATGTGTGATTCCCTCTCATGTATTTACTATTCAATGTATTCTTTACTTTTTTCTTATATGAATAATACTCACCCTTGCATCTATTTTGTGTCTTACTCAGTATTTAGACTAACACAGAGATTAGCTGGCGGTTCCCTCCCTAACTAAAACTTTGTGGCAATTGGTCTGAGTGTGCATACTAGACGAATTGTTACAGTGTTTTTATATATATATATATTTGAATGTGAAGTCCTTTTAAAAACAATGCATCCTGCATCTAAACAGGAGGCCTGGCTCAATCATGCGGCACACTCTGGGGGACGAGCCACAAATCCGTGAGTACGGATTGCGAAAGCGTGGGTACGGTTTATGAATTTGTGGGTACAGATTGCAAAAACTGAGGGCACGGTTTACAAATCTGAGAGCACGGATTAGGAACTTGTGGGTACGGTTTATTAATCCGTGGGCACGAATTGTTAAACCGAGGGAACAGTTTAAGAATCCGTCAGTACAGTTTATAAACTGAGGGGACGGATTGCAAATCCGTTGTCTCGGATTGTTTGTTTTTTTCCCCATAGGTGACTTCCCGGGCTCCGTACAAGACAGTTTTAGTTGTAGCGAACATCCGAAATGTGCAAATTGCATAGTGGTGCAGAGACAGTTCATTGAAAGCAACATCTGATTTGTGCAGAGGAGAGGAGTGGTGCACCAATGATCTTTCCGGCTGTGTTTATTATGCGCTGAAGAGCTTTTCTGTTATACTCAGAGCAGCTCCCACCCCCACACAGTAATGCAGCTGGAAAGAATGCTCTCAATGGTGCCTCTGTAGAAAGTGCTCATGATGGATGGTGGAGCACTTGCCTGTCTGAGTTTGGGCAGGAAGTAGAGGCGCTGCTGAGCATTCTTCACCAGGGATGCAGTGTTGGTGGTCCAAGAGAGATCTTCGCTAATGTACACCCCTAAGAATTTGGCGCTGCTCACTCTCTCCACATCAGCGCCATCGATGGACAATGGCCGGTGTTCAGTGCGACCTCTCCGGAAGTCAACAATGATTTCTTTGGTTTTTCTAACATTTAGCAAGAGGTTGTTTTTTCTGCACCACGTGGCAAGAAGGTCTACCTCCTTCCTGTAATGAGTCTCGTCTCCCTTGGTGATGATACCCACCAGAGTTGTATCGTCCGCAAACTTAATAATATGATTAGTGTTATGAGTTGATGTGCAGTCATGTGTCAACAGCGTAAAGAGCAGCGGACTTAGCACGCAGCCTTGAGGGGCCCCTGTGCTCAGTGTGATGCTGCTTGAGGTGTTATTGCCAACACGCACTACTTGAGTCCTCTGACTGAGGAAGTCCAATAGCCAGTTGCAAAGTGAAGAACTTAGTCCTAGTTTGTCAAGTCTACAGATGAGTTGTTGCGGAATTAATGAGTTAAATGCTGAACTGAAGTCTACGAATAACATTCGTACATGTGTGTCTTTTTTTTTTTGATGATGATGATGGATGTTAGTGCCACAGGGCGGTAGTCATTGAAACAGGATGGTGCAGGTTTCTTTGGCACAGGTATGATGGTAGCGGCTTTGAAACATGATGAAACAGTGGCTTGCTTCAGGGAAGTATTGAAGACATCTGTGAAGACCTTCAGCTCTTCTGCACAGTCCTTCAGTACACGACCTGGGATATTATCTGGACCTTTTGCTTTGCGTGTGTTGATAGTGACAAGTGTCCTCTTCACGCTGGCGGTGGAGAGGCACAGGGACTGATCATGGAGGGTCCATTTCTAAACTGTCACCCCAGTTTAGAGTAACGCAGAACACGTAATATAATGTTCAGTTCTTATATGGTCTCAAAGTGAGGTGCTGGGTCCAAAATTAACTGTAGTTGATCAATTGAGAAAATGTTGCTTACTGACCATGAAATGCAGTAGTCAAACTTTGAAGTGGATCAAAACCTTTCATCAACCTTTCAAGTTATACATGAACTTTTTTGATCCACTTCAAATGTTAACTACTGTATATTTTTCATTTCATTAAAATGGCTTTTTACCCAGTGATATTACCTATTGTGATCTTCCACATATTTTCATTGTGGTGGATTATTAAAGCTGCTGTCGGCAACTCTGGCTGATTGAGTGGACTTAGGCAACATTTTGAATGTTTACAACTCTCATGCCCCTCCCCCACTATCAACGAATACCCTCCCACAGAGTTTGTGCTCGTCATTGCGCGTGCTGTATGGTATATGCGGCAGACATGGTCATTGTACATTTTTTATTGCTTATTATACGCATAACAGAGGTTGTCAGGTAGCACATACAATAACAGTAGCTTTACTACTGTTCTTAAAGTAAGAAAGATAGAGTAGCATTGATTCTTCCAAAAAGTCTAACTTTATCCCTTCATCTGGACCTGTTTATCAACCTAATGTTACGTTCACGCGGATTTCAGTGCAAACGAACCTGCCCACAAAGTGCTAACGTTAGCTATCCATACCAACACATTTGAGCAAACATACTTCAATTACTAACATAACACTAAGAAATAAAGTAACTGGTTGATAAATCACAATTACCTGTCGAGAAGAAATGTTGCAAGCTCTGCATCCAGCTTAAACCCAAATAAATCATGTAATTCTCTCCATCGTTTAAATGCCGTTCCGATGTGTTTTCCTGGTTTTATTACGGGCATGGTCGATTTCGAACCAAGGAATTGGAAACATTTCCCCCATCACTCTTCGCTAGGGTTGGGTATCGTTTGAATTTGAACGATTCTGATTCCGATTCCGGTTCCTAACGATTCTCGATTCCGATTCTTTTAAGAGGCAGGGTCAAAAAAGTTTAGCTAACCTTGCTAACCAACGGCCTTTCTGAAGGAAATACTCATTTCTGAAGGAAATACTCCTTTCTGAAGGAAATACTCCTTCTGTAAAAATACTCCTTTTGTCACAAATTTTGCATTTTGCCGAGATTTCTTTATTTTTAGAAAAGTGAAGCCACACTTTGGATCGCCGACGTAAGGTACTCATGTTCGACTCGCGTGGTTATGCCAACACTTCCGGTAGACGCTTCTTCATTGGTGTTGTTCAGCGGTTTCTTCTTCCTCTCGGCGGACTGTGAATATCGAAACTAGGAATCGAAATTTTAACTTTTAAACGATTCCGGGAAAAACGAAAAGTTAGTCTCGGTTCCAATCGATACTCGATTCTCGATACCCAACCCTACTCTTCGCTACTGCGCGAACTTCACTTCAGGCGTGTGCATGTGATTGACGTGTGGATGCACGACTTGTGATTGACAGTCATACCTCACACACCCCCCACCCCTGCGTTGATTGGACACATTAAACTGGGAGCGGGGGATTTTTGCAAAACAAATAACACGCTCCAGGTGGAGTTAGAAGCTCGGGTTTTTTTCTAAAACCACTTTATTTATGTTGTTCTGTCGGAATATAGTGTTGAATTCGCTGAATATGATAAAAAAAACAAAGTTGCCGACGGCAGCTTTAAATATCTGTTGCCACATTGTTATAACAAAAAGAAATCGTTCTATCTAGTCATTTAATGGTTGAGTTATGTAGCTTTAGACAATATAGACAACATTCTTGTCCTAACTACTCATTGCTTCCCTTCTCCATGTTCAGGACATTGAGTCAGAAAACGTGAATGTGGTGAAGCGTCTCTTTAAGATCCAGAACATCAATGCCAGCACTATCCGCACAGTGATGGTGGCCCACTGCCGTCGACACGACTCCCCTGACCTCCTCCTGGACTATGAAGCTCAGTCACAGGCACAAGCTCAGCGGACACTGCAGCACCAGCCTCTCTTCTTTGATCTGGGAAAATCAGACAGTGAGGAGGAGAAAGAAGATGATGGGGATGAGGAGGATGAGGAGCGAGGAGAAAAAAGAGTGTCAGCACATCTGCCCTCATATAACCCATCTGGCCTGCAGCATGTAATACATGTAAGACCTATAAATCACTAGCATCTCATGTGAAGCTTGATCCCAATGATTGATCCCACTAAAAAAAGTGCTAATTCTGTTGGAAATTAATAACATTTTCATGAATGAAAAGAATCAAGTTTATAATCAGGGGGTCCTTTGCACATATGTAAGGTTTTTTTATAGGTTTATTTTTCATTTTTATTATTTTAATGATTATATGCTGGCCCATTGCCTACAAAATCAGCTGTCCTCGGATAGGAGATAATCATTTCAACTTGATTAAAAAAACAAAAAGGAATAATTGAATTGAATAATATATTTACCACACAAAAGAGTACATTGTAATATGTATTAAAAACTACAAACAGTGAGTTTTGAACAATATTTACTATTATTTTGTGGCTGTTCAAAATGTGTCCCACATATTCGTCACCACCGTCAGATATTTATAAAAAGCAATAAAATCAGGCAACTACAAGGTCAGCTACATTCCTCCATACCCCATTTTCAAACCTTCAGCTTTACAGCATGCTTCAAGATCACTCAAGCTCCCGTAATTTTGCTATTTTCTCTTAAACTTGTTCATATATTTGGGCACTGCTACTGTCACAACCATAACATGTCAACACCGTCTCTTTTGTATAGAAAATATTAGATTAGATTATGACATAATTGTATACTTTTTAAGAAGAGGTCTGAAGTAGCTAGCAACAGAGGGGAAACAAGATGGCTATAATGTGAACAAATCATGCATATGATGTGAAAGAGTAGGTTTTGTCACCACCGTCAGACGTCACCACCGTCAGGTTTTCTATCTGACGGTGGTGACATACCGTGTGACGGTGGTGACAAAACCCCCCAAATGGTCTATAACAGAGGCTAGAATATAATTGTTGATCACAATAAATACCAATATATTATCCTGTAATGTTCCATTCACCTCTTTAATATTTTTATTTATTTAATTCCCCCTATATTTCTTCCATTCAGGCTTACACTGCATGCTACTATTAGCGCGAGTGAGAGTGAGGATGTTTCCTGATATCCTCACGGCTGTGCTTCAGCTGCAGGAATACAGCAGTTCTAATCTGAACACGTTTGATGCGATTAAATTGTGTTTCATGACGTTCATTTAGATTTTTGCCCACACTAAAAATTTGTTAAAGCCTAGCATGGATAGGAGCAGCAATAACCCCCTTGGGGTAAACAGAACAGAACCAACATGAATGTTTTGCAGATTATTTCAAAATTTAAAGTACAATATAATTCGAGAATTTATTCAGATTCTTGGGGAATCAGAATGTCAAGTCCTGACTGACGAGTGGAGCTGGGGAGGGAGGAGGGTAATGAGCTCCTGAGAAACGTGATAGCTGCTGATAATACTGAAGGAGCTTATATATGTGTACAGTGATAGGCGTCATATTCCTATAGGGGGAGGTGGATCAGCTAATAGTCGGCTGATGCGAGCTTGACTAACGTGACCTGCCAAAACTAACCAGAACTAAGGATGCACATAGTGCAGCTACTGCCTACCTACACAGCACATAGTATGCACTATCCATTCCAGGCTATGCATCTCCAATGACTAAAGCCAAATGAAAATGGCATGACATCATTTAAACAAATCTAACATTCGCTGTAATTACCCCCAATTTCATAGTCATTACACTCAACTTTGACTTTATGTATTTTCGAAAGTTATGGCTAGGCAGCAGCTATATAGAGGAGAGAAGGAGAAGAAACAGGGAATACCAAAAAAAGCTGAGAGAGAAAATACACAGTGAGGCAGAGTTAAATGAGGAATACCTCATAAAAGGAAAAAAAAATGTTTATCACAGTGCTCAAGATTGTTATTTTTTGGACCAAAGAGTTAAATGAAGTTGTTAAGCAAGAATTGATTGACTTGAGTGGTATACATTGTGGAATTGTATGTTGTAAAGAGGCCACAGTCACCACCGTCAGATTAATGTCACCACCGTCAGTTCTAAAGTCACCACCGTCAGAGGGAGTTTTATTGGTTTTAAATGAATATACTTGAAATATGATTCTTCAGTGCTGTTGAGTTATTAAAGTAATAGTCTCTTTTAATACAAAAATATGTTTGTTAAATAAAACAACATTAATTTTTCTATTTAGGCTTAAAGTAAATGTTGTATGATGTTATATCTTTTAAAGGAGTACACGCAAAACAGTATAAAAAATGAAAAGTAAAAAAAAAAAGTAAATATTCAACATTTAACAGCATATATGTGTACCAAGAATACCAGATAATGATTTAAAAACTCTAAATACATATTAGACCAAACAAATAAAAAATAATTTGCTATTTATTTTGTCTGACGGTGTTGACAAAAACAAAGTGATAACTGGAGAAATGCCTATTTTATGAAAAAAATACAAAATGAGGAGGTTGCACCGGTGCATTGCTGAACAGCCAAGACCTTGCTTTATAATGATATACCTTCAGATTTTGTAATTTAACTAACTTTTTATTTTCAAAATTAAAACCTGTTTTATCCAAATTCCCAAGAATCACTGATATATATACAGACAGACAGACACACAATGATTCGTGTTCAATTGGATTTAATTGTATCTTTTTGCAGTCTATGGAATTATAGTGTGGTTTAAATTTGATTAGTTTGATATGCAACATACAATCTGTTTGTTTACGCCACATTTCTAATCCATGCAGTTCTTCAAGTCGACACCACTAGTAACAACAGCCTTGAGAGATATTGTCAATTTCCTCATGTTTTTAAAAGATACAGTATACATAGATCAGGAAAAATAGTCTTCTCTTTGAAAATGGGAAATTTGTTCTTTAACCACGTGTTCCTGAATTTTGTTTTAATTTTATAAAAAAAACTTTTCCATTAACAACACTATGAAATCAAAAGCAGTGATTATTAGGGTATAATGCAATATCAAGATTATAGATTCTTATAAATATTCTGTCTGTTTCCAATTTTTAAAAAGGTGACTGTTCAATACTGCAAATCCACATTGAATTGAAATTTCATTGCATTAAATCAAATCAATTTACAGTATTGTGAATTACTCATGTAATACTTAAAAAAAAGAAGAAAAAAAACTAGATTTGTCTTCATAATTCTTTAACTTTCCCTTTTCCAAGTTTTTTTCCTCATTTAATATTTCTTTGTTTTATTCTTAAGTGTGTTAGATTACAGAAGTAAAATGGACTGGGAATGCCTTTTCTTTTTGAAGTGTATTTCCTTTCCTTAGCAATTAATAACAGACCCTAGCGAAAGATCAACTATGATTGAAAACTGTTTTAATAAAAGCACTCATCTTGAAGTGTTATATTATATGTTATCAGTTATGTGTGCTGTATTTGCTGCCTTTAGGGTTGTCAGAGCATAGCTGCTCATGATCGAGAGTTGGAGACGAAGGTGGCCAGGCTGATGGGCAATAGACGCACCAAAGCTCCTGATCCAAACCTGGTGTCTCCCTCAGCTCCTGGAGAAGGAGAGGACAAGACTTACCTCCTCTTCACCACTGGCAGCCTCACCTACTCGCCTCACCAAATTGGTGAGTGTGCACTTGTGTTTTCCATACAGTACATGTGGGATGGTGAACTCATGTGTTTGTGTGTTTCAGGTATCAAGCGGATAATGCCTGATCAAATGACAACAAGTGGTCCTGTGTTAGGAGAAGAGCGCAGTACAGAGGAGTTCTTTGACTCGCTGGATCATGTGATCGACATACACGGCCACATCATCGGCATGGGTCTGTCACCTGACCATAGGTGTGTTTGCTTTGCAGCAGTAAATGACTAGCATACATGAGCTTTTAATTGACTTTGGACGGATGCAGTTTACTCAGCAAGTTCATATGGTTTGTGAAATTTAATCAAGAGAACAAATTTGTGTGGCAAATTATCTGGCTTGACTTATCATGCAAATCCTGGATGTTGCTGTTGTGTTTCTATGGGATACAAAACCACAAAGTCTTCCTTCAGGGGACACAAGCAGGCTTAAAAAGCTGAAATAATCTAAAGCTGACAAGGCCATAAAAAAAATTTAAATACCTTAAATGGTATAAGAAAAGTCTTAATTATTATTTCAAGAGGTCTTACATTTTGGGGACAGTTAAACAGTCGTGGTATGGCTTAATGTGATTATTAAACTTCAAAACACTTAATTTACCTAAATATAATCACTGTTGCATGTTCTATAGATTTAGAGCAGTTTGAATACCACACATTTATGTTTAATATAAATATAATTTTGACTTTAAAAAGAAGGTGTATGGCTGACCACAGAAAAATATGTGGTCAAAATGTGTAAATCCTTCTGAAATTGAAATATTATCTATGAATGTGTCAGCTGTCATTCAGTGTTTGTCTGTTGATAGGTACTTGTACGTGAATAGTCGAGCATGGCCGGCGGGATGTGTGATCTCTGACCCCATGTCCCCTCCCCCCATCGCAGAGGAGATCGACCTGCATGTGATTGATCTGAAGAGTCTTAGAGAGGAGCGCCGTAGCCTTCGAGCCCACCGGGCCTTCACACCCAACGATGAGTGCTTCTTCATCTTCCTTGATGTCAGCCGAGACTTTGTCGCCAGGTGATTTACATCCCATTTAGCACATTGTATTTGCTGTGGTAAACAGATTATTAGGTCTTTTAACTATGTGTGTACTAAAGTAAACCATAGCTTTCTTTCACTAGTTGATATGACATTTATACCAACACTAAACGTGGGTGCACCATAGGGATGGGACGGTATTAAAATTTCATATTACGATTATAGTGACCAAAATTATTGTGTTTATCAATAGTATCACGGTTTTGTTTAAAGGAGATGAAAGTGAGAGAGAGGCCCTTGGTGACGTCAGATCCAATGGGGGCGCTTCGCGCCCACTACGCCACATCCCGCCGAGACGGGCGTGGCTTGGGCCTATAAATACAGCTCAATGGGCTGATATAATCTGTTTTTTCATTGCCGAAGCAAACCAGAGCATGTTGCAGGCACGGCAAAGATACGCAGTACTCGTTCCCTCTTCTAGAGAAAACCGAGGTTACGTTAGTAACCGAGAACGTTCTCTTACGAGAGGTTCTCTCTTACTGCGTCATATCTTACGCTAGGGCAACATGGTGTAAAACACCTTGCGTGCTGGGATCCAACACCAAAGTCCCAAAGGCAGGTGCCCGGGGCTCATTTAGTGCATAAACACCAGGGTCTCACAGAGAGTCTGAGAAGAGAGGCTATAAGTGTCATTCCCAATAAGTAGCATCCTAAGGGAGCTAATCATATCTACACAGTCAGGGTGAAATTGTTCGGCCTGAACAGGGTTACAGTATGGGTCCTACTCATTGCCCATGGAGTTATTTTATCGATCAGCGAGCGGTGCTCAAGTGGTTTCAGTATTCTGAGCCGAAGCAACGGGGCAGACAGTACTGGGGTGAGTTGCATAAACTGCTAAGACTAGTCTTACAAGTTAGTCATCCAATTTTTTTAGTAAGATTGATTACCCCTAACAACCTGCTAGGTGGTCAAACTAGTTCTTAAAAGGGTACATATCATGCTTTTAAAATTTTTACTTATAAATCATACATTTGTGGTCTATATAAAGCATAACTGCAATGCTTGGGTCTGAATTCCTCATTATTATAGCTCCACAGGCCCCTTTTCTACCCCTTTTCTGATGTGTGTCTGTGAGCAAGTCGTTTTAAAGCGGCCCCTTTAAATAAAAAGGAGTTGCGTCTTTCCCCGCCCGCTCTCCAGGTCGCTGAGTTCACGGTCGGTTCAACTCCCCCCGTTCGGCCATTATTGTAGTTTGATAAGAGATATACGATTACTATAGCTTCAAAGAACATTTTTATTCACACGTTAACAAAATGTCAACAACGGAAGACTTGTCCATCAAGCCTTAAAGACGACGACGAACCTGAAGAACAACGTCTTCATATGGATGCAGCGGTATGTAAGTTAAGTTAACTATTTTGTGTTATTAGTGAAAGTCGACTATTTCTCTTGTTAAAACAAGCACACTGACAAGATAAATGACTACGGTCTAATCTTACCTCTAAAAATCTGTATTTATAATAATATGATAACTTACGTTTAGAAAAGCATCAGAAAAAAACGCAGCAGCTAAATGATAGAAGGAATTTACCCCTCATTCAGACGAAGTCGATCGGCAAACCCTTTTGTATACTGGCGGAGGTTGTTGAAGTGGGAATCCTTGAAGTGCTTCAGGTCACTACATCCAACAACCGAACATTTTGACTTGCCCTCTCGTAACTTCTGTATCATTGAGCTTGGACTATAAAATCGGAGCGAGAAATAATAATGGTGGATTGCTCGACGTGTTGGACCGGTAGTCAATGTCCTTATTTGTCAGTTCCGCTGCAAATACTGTGACGTAATTGTTCAAGAAACGTAATAGAGAACGGAAAAATCTGAACAGGTTGAAAAATATGACCAAAACAGAATATAAAGATATAAACAAATCACCTGAAGAGAATAATTTAATTTTTTTCTGTACTTATAAACACTCCAAATATACAACAAAATGCATTAACCTAAAAACCTAGATTTTGCATGATATGTCCCCTTTAAAGTCCCTGTAAAGTCAAAATTAAGTATGTGTTCTGAGTTTGTCACACCACAGAAAAATTGTGTTGTTAGCCACCCAGCCTAATTTGAATGATAAAAAAAGCCGGCAAGTACATAAAATAAGTTAAATAATCAAAATCTTGAAAAAAATGATCAGTTATCTCTGTTCTCAAACACTGGGGGCGTGTCCGCTGGCTACACTGAAACCACGCCCACTAGCGGGAAAGCTGTCGACGGTGATATTAGGTGATACTGCTTTCGGGACGGGAGGATGAACGCTGAGGCGCAAGATAGTCGTTTCGGCCCCGTTCGCCTAGCCTAACTTCGTCATACTCATATTCTAGTGAGAATATGAGTCTGAAACTCCTCCGTAGGGCTTTGATTGTGAGGCGTGTCTTAACCGAACCAGGAAAAAAAAAAACCTCTCCACTCAATTGGATAGTCGGTAGACCTACAACCAATCAGAGCGGTAGACCTACAACCATCGAACTTCCACTGTAAACACATGTATGATGTGAAAACGAAACCATTGAGCGAAATACCGGAGTGAACATGGCTGATCGAGTTTTGTTGCCTCCTTAACCTGATCCTTCATGAGTGCAACCAAGGGGACACAATCACAACTATCGCTTTGCCGGCCTTTGGCCTGCCCAGTTTCTCGCTGACGATCGGTAATAGTTGATTAATTAAACTTTTCCCAAAACCTGTCGGGAGTAGGGCCACAACATCACCTCCATTCAAAATCTTTAACACACTTCTTGTTCGAGCTTCAGTTTGCAAATGCCGGGAATATTCTCTACAACAGAGCGAAATGCATCCCGTGTCTCCATATCCGCATTCGTTTTCGATTTCCCTAACCTAAAATACAATCGTAATCTCTGTGCTTAGCGTCTATGTCACGGCTCTCAGCCCGCCCTCTGTTCGTTGATTGGCCGGCTGTTTTCAGGCCGGAGGAAAACTGAGAGACATGTCGACTGCGAACTGAAATCGAACGGAAGTACGAAGTCTGAAGCAGTCAGGCTATGTCTGCTTCCCGGACAATGTAAGGAAGACTGTTCCAAAGTTTTGGTGCTAAATAAGAAAAGGATCTACCACCAGCAGTATATGATGTTTAATTGGGAGCCAATGCAGTGTTGACAGAACCGGGCAAATACTGTATGTTCTGGTAAGAACTTGAGCTGCTCCGTTTTGGACCAGTTGTAGTTTAATTATTAATTATACCATGTTCTGGATGAATACTCGATTCTGATTGGCTGCAGGGTGTCCGTTAAAAAGTGATAGAGGACACCTACTAAAGTAGTTCTGGTGAAACTGCCTGTTTACTATTCGAAATGTATAAATAAATGCGCTGCCTACAACAGCTGTGAGTAACCATAGCAACAGGCAGTCAAACGCTCTATCAAAACAAACATCTAATGTTAGATGTTATAGCCGAATACAACAATGAGCGAATTCGTTATTTCTTTTAACATTTATGGAGAATATGGCAACTTTGACGACTGGTATGCTGTAGGTCGACTCTCCGATGCTGGACTGGAGAGCCGTCAAATAATGTCGGTGACAGGCCATCAATGCGAGAGCAGTCTGCGGGCTTACTGGGCTCCGTCTGTCCGTGAGAGACGAAGCTTGAGCAACGTACTCTCTGCATCATGAGCAGCAGTACCCAGCTTTTGTGGATCCTCCTGACTGGCCGACTTTTTCAAATTGCACTATAAATGGAAATGTTGAAATTAATTGTAAATAAAAAAGCTAGCATGGAGGCAAATGACCCTCTCTTTGATCTGATTAAGTTAAAGGTTCTCTAAGCGATGTGGGGCCAAAACATTTTTGTCACATACATCAAACGTCTCCTCACTATCGGCTAGCTGCCTGTCCCCTAAACACACTGTAAAAAAAACGCGGTCTCTGTAGACACCACAGGCTCCACAAACGGCAACAAAAACAATCATGTCTCACCCGGACCACGAAGCCTAACAAACAGTGTTCCAGCCAATCACTGGCAAGAAGTATTTGAGGGTGGGTCTGGGGGGTTAGTGCGCGTGCACATGAAGGGTGTGTGTGTGTGAAGGAGATAGAAGCATCAGAGGGAAGTTTGATTTCTTGGCCGACACACGACCAAATAGACGTCGTTCTGAAGAACAAATTAAAAAGAAGAAGGAGTCGGATAAAGAACGTGTGCGAAGTTCCGAATTTACATCGGTAGCAAAGCTTTTGAACGATGGCGAGAACTCCGGCGGCAGAAGGGCTTCCAGTCCGACATTCAGGTTGCTCTGTTTTTGCTGGACAGGTGGGTAACGTTAAATAGTTTTTTTTTTTTTTCTTCTAAATTGACGCTTATGTTTGCCAAACCCACACAAGGATATAATAGCTTGTTTTCACGTGACGTCACGACACTGCGTTGCCATGGTGCGAAATGCAGATGGAGGGCAGGAAGTGATTTTCCATATTTAGGAAGCACTATAAAACACTCAAAATGCCTATGTTTTGCGTCATTTATGGTTGCTCAAATCGATCAAACCACGAGGAGTTTTTATCGTGTGCCCAAAGTTGTTGCTCATAAGGGGGGAAAATACAAGAAATTGACAGAAAAACACCAGGAAAAATGCCTTGCAAACCTACGTCTGCGGTCGGGAGAAGCCGAATGGGAAATGCCTGTGTGTGTAGTGATCACTTCGTCAAATTTGAGTTAATACGTTATTTATGTGGCTTATAATTACATCAATCAGGTGTTTAAATACACTTATGTGGCTGTTTGTGTAACATACCAGTTTCCGAGCTTTGTAAAGTCAAAGTATGTCTGTGAGACGAGTTAGTTGCTGTTATCTACAGCCTCGATGGCAGGCAAATCTCTCAATTCAGTTGAAAATCGGTCCTCTTCATAACGTAAGGATCACCTCCAACATATGTTTCGATTTTCTGTTTATATATTTCTCTTGTAATAGCGTCTAAAGTAGTACAGTACGCATTTTCCTCCATTTCGTCCATTGCGGTCTTCACTCCTTGCCCTCCATCTGCATTCCGCGCGTCAACACAATCACGTGACTGCAAACCACCTATTAGCTAGAACTATGCACGTTCACAATTATTTCAGGAAGCACGGAAGGGAGGGGGAGGAGATGAGATGCGGCGGAGGGAGAGTCTAGCTAGCCTCCGATTTGTTTGAAAATATTCCGAATGTCAACAACACCCAGGATCGCTCAGAGAACCTTTAATTTATTGCCCTCTATAAGCGCAAATCGCTGGTGCTCAGAACTAATTGTTTTTTTTTGTGTGTGTGTTTTTGATTGTTGTTTGATTAATTGTTTTATGTGTAATAAAAAAAAAATAACTATGCCTACCCTCGTGTTTCATGAAGAAAAAAAAATGCATTTTTGAACCTGAAGGGTTCTACAAGTTGAGCGGACTATAAATGTCTCCGGTTGCTAAATAAACCTTCAGGCAAGTTATTATTTATAAAAACTTGATTTAGCCTAATTAAAATATAAACTAATGTTTTAAAAATGTTTTATTTGGCAAGTGACCATGGTATAAGCGGGTTAATGCCCTTCGGCGGAGGCAACCGTCCTCCGCTGCGCGTTGGCCGGTTCACGCCTCGCCGTCGTCCATTAACCCTTACGCGTTCAGGGCAACCACCCAGTAGAGCATTACAATAATCTAGCCTTGTTGTCATGAAGACATGAACTAACTGTTCCACATTTGTCATTGAGAGCATATGAATTTATATATATTTTTAAGATGGTAGAATGTGGTTTTACAGATACTAGACACATGACTTTCAAATAAAAGATTGCTATCAAAGAGCACACCTAGGTTCCTAATCGACGAGGACTTGACCGAGCAGCCATCAATTGTTTTGTACCTACAGTATTGCAGGTTATTAAGTGAGAACGTTTTTTGTCCAATAGAATCTCGGGGGGTTTTTTTTTTCAGTATTAAGTTGTAGAAAATTTATATCAGCTTGCATTCTGTTAATTTTCTGGATTGGTAAGTTTCATCAGGGCCTTAAGAAATATAGAACTGATTATTAGAGTAACATTCACAGAAATGAATTTGAACTTCCCAATTACATCCACATTTTTGCTACTGAGCTAAATATGTTCCTGCTGAGATGGTATTTACTTACGAGTACTAAGTCAAAAAAATGTCTGACACACCAAGCCGGCATAAAATAACTAGCAGCGATGAAAGCTGACTATTGTTGCCTGCGTCGACTGCATCTCGGCCAAAAAGATGAGCTCGAACACCCCACAAATACTTCAGGCGACTGTCAACTAGCATGTGCGTTCTGCACCTGTAAGGAAATAACTCTTTATCAGCAGGGAAACCGAAATTAGGAACTGCATATATGCAAACTTAAAGCAGTGCTTGCTTATCATTTTGAATATCAATCATGCTGATTATTTTCTTCATTCCAGGCGGCTTATGTTATGAAAATATTCTCGTAATAGAATGCTTAGATAAGGTGACAAACATCTTAGGCGACTTCTTTGCTCTCTTTCATCACTTGTGCTGAAAACACTTCACTAGTTCGCTAAGCTGAACATTCAACATGTTCAATTGTTCATGTTCAACTTAGCGTGTCGAGCTTTACACATAATGATGTAATGTCCACACTATGTACTCATCTAGACATCTAAACCATCATTAAAGGGGTGATGAACTGAGAAATCAAATTTTCCTTGAGCTTTTGACATCTAAGAGGTCATCATATTATAAGTTTCAGAACTGAAAACGTCCTTGTTAGTCCAATAAAAGCTTTTATTGACACAGCCTCTAAAAACGACTCGTTTTTAAAAGTGGGGAACTATGACGACAAAGAGGATAAAACACCACCCCCACAGAAGATGATCAACACCTGCTTCACCACGGCAGGTTTAGCCCCGCCCACCGATTCGCGCATTACACACATAAGTATCATACATGTACATGCTTACCTCGTGATGACAAACTGGATCGCTACCGAGCAATACAGAATATTGTGCAGTGCCTGGTTGTGCAAGACAGTCGCTGCATAAGCTTCCTGTGGATTCCAATAGGACTGCATGGATAAAACTTATTTTTAATGACGTTCCAGCAGCTGATGAGGTAAAACATCGTCGTCTGTTCGCTTCATTTCACTGAGGATTGTTTTGTCAACAAGACTGGATTTGCAGACCGATTAAGAGTAAAGAACGGTGCTGTGCCGTCTATATTGGATCTGACAGGAATATTGTGCAACACACGGACTCTGGGTTGAACATGTATGGGCGAATCCGGTTGCCATTTTACAACATAGGACGTTTTCCCCCACGTACACCGACGGGTGAGTTAAACTCATTATAATATGCAAAACTGTTCTCCACTCGCAGCAGTGGGTGTTTACTTCCAAGTCTTCAGTGCGACACGCCCATAAAAACCAACTGTTTTTCAGGAAAGCTCACAACCAGGATACAAAATAGCCTATTACTTGTTCATTTTGATGTTTTTGAATGCAAAAACCAAGCGAACATTATAAGTTGACCTCAGACAACAATATAATAACATTTAAAAAGCCAGTTCATGACCCCTTTAAATGCTTGCCAAACAAAATATCTTAAGGATTGAGTCATAACTGCACTAGAAGTGTTTATTCTCTAATGAGTGTACTTGTCTGTGCAGCGGTGCAGAGGACAAGCACGGTTACATCTGGGACCGACACTACAACATCTGCCTGGCACGCCTGCAACATGATGATGTGGTCAACTCTGTGGCCTTCAGCCCAGCAGACCAGGAGCTGCTGCTGTCTGCCAGTGACGACTCCACCATTAAAGTGTGGCGCTCCCCACGCATGCTGCGCCTCACACAGCCCCCCCGACACCCGCCACGGGCTCGCAAACTGATCTCGTCCTTACTCGGCCAAAGAAGAGCTAATCTGAATGGCAAACCCTGACCTGGACACTGGCAGGCGTATCGAAACAGAAAGACACTCCATGAGCAGAGAGGCATGTGTGAGGTCAAGAAACTGGACTTCTACATGGGTGCCTATGAGAAGAACAAGGGTACATGTGTTTTCTTAGTGGCAGGTAAATCACTGAAAAATGAAATGTGATCTTTGCATAAAGAAACAACAAAAGAAAAGAGGATTTTTGGATCACCATATGCGCATAGAAACGTAAACATCAACAGTATATGTGACTTCAAAGGCAAAGAACCAAGGATTTGAGGGAAGATATAGGTCATTCACATGTGAGTGTCTCGTGTGCAGTTGTAAGTCCATTTAACCCAGTCGTGGTGACTGAAACACTGCCTGTGCCCGCTCATATTTTTTATGTTTTTTGTTTTTGTTTTCTTTTAGATGATCAGAACAAAAACAGGTTTAGAGTATTTAAATACTCAAAACAGGGGGAAAATCTAGATTCTGGTACAAACTTACAAAAGTTATGTGTCTCTGGTTTTATTTTTGGTTTTAAAAGAAAGAGCAGTTCAGTTTAACATGGTTTCTGAATGACAATGTTTATTTCCTCTCCATCTATGCCTTTATTATTGAAATCAATTGTATCCTTTGTGCATATGGGATTTAACAATCATACCATACTGAAAAATTCCAAAGAAACTCAAAGCCTTCATGTTTGAACCTTTAGCTGTCACCTTTATTCAATCATTCGGTTTTAACAATGCACCAGTGACGCACCTCTGTTATGGTATTATATATTTATTTGATATGTACATCCTGGTATGACATGTCGTGACTGTATGTGCAGGTTGTATTCACATTTATTTCTATAGGATTGTTAAAACTACCAAAAAGAAGAAAAAACTCAATTACAGGTCCGACAGCAGGCCATTTCATTCTCCATTCAATATTTAATGTAGATGAGCTCCATGACACACTTTTCACACACGTTATACCCACAACTCACCTCCAGCACCTCACCTTCCTGTGTCATAAGCTTACATTTGTTTACCAGCATTAAATATTCAGCAAAGGTGCTCATTTGTTATAATCTCTTAAATGTCCCCATGGCTCACATATATGATCTATACATGTGAAGCACAGATGAAATATTTGTTACTTGTGCATTACAGGCAGAGTGTGAGAAAGTTTGGATCACAATGTGCAGCATTAGGCTCTATAATTGTGGCCAGTGGTTTTTTTGTTAATGGACCTGGTTCCCTGTATGACATTTGTTTGAGCTTGTGAATCTGATTTATCACCTTCCTTTTGGCTGTTTGCCATCGTTTTACATTTTGTATTGTAGAATGTGTAAAATTTGTTTGACCCATTAAACTATTTTTCTTTTACCAGATACAGTGTACATTTTCAATTTTACCCAAAGCAACTAAAGATGTATATACATTTTTTACTTTTTTTTTTCCTTTGGCAAAGGTAAAAACATGGGACATAAAGACATTGTAGAGACCACTTTAACTGTTGCATGTTTACATGTTACATTACAAGAGACCACTTTTTAATACATGTTTATTGTTACTCGGCACACAACAATTGTATATTTAAAACAAATGTATTATATAGTAAGAACTCAACTTCACAAAAAACTGCAGGATCAGGACACTATGCTTAAATGAAAGGAAACATTTTTATCACAATAACAAAACAAAGGGTATATCACTATCTAAAAGTGAATTGCATAGCTTCAGTGAATTACTAAATAATAAAATACAAACTAATATAAATGATAGATAAATGGTACAAATTAATACATAGAATTAAATAAAATGATTTTAACTGATTTTTTAATTCATTTATGATAGAGAAATGAAAGAGAAATGTTTGCTTTTGTTGTAAAGAAGAAATAGTGACATTTTTTTCTAATTATCCAAGTAACATGGACTGTTATTTAACTGAACAGGATTTATACTGCATCTAGGTTAACTCAGAAAATATACCATGCTAATCTAAAGTATAGTGATGTTACAGAGGAAAAGGTATTAGTATGTCTGATCCATTTTATAAGGGCTTGAATATAATAAAATGTCTACAGCTGGAGAATCTGTGTAGCCATTTCATTCTCAAGCCCAAACAAAAAGATCCAGTCCAACGATTAGATGATGTTTACAAGTAGGCTAACTACATTGAATTTAAGCAGTGGTTAGTCAAGATGTTTGGACATCTAATAAATTCCTTTTCCCTCTCTTAATAACATAGATGAGCTTTTGTATGTGCATGAGGCTACAATATTTACATTTCATAAGAACAAACAGCACAATGATTCATTTCTATGAGCTGACTCTCACAGCGCTCAATCAGTTTATGGATATTAAAGTTTCTCTATTATTAAGTTAGTCACGTTTGTAAAAAAAAAAAAAAAGCATACCGATGACAAATACGTATCTATTTATAAACTATACTTCCAGAAAAAGTGACCATGCCTCTAAAAATGTCCTCACAAATGCAGTTAGCATCCAAACAAGATCAGATTTTAACGGCATGAAAAATCCTGCACCCTTCAAGTCTCTCATAAGTAATATTATGTTATTACATACAAAACAGGTATAGTTTAATTTATATGATATAAATATGTATTATGATAATAAATATATAGTACATATTAAATATTCAGTTATATCAAAATAGTGGAGTTATTGCTATGCAAGTAAGTTTGATCATTGCCACTCCATAGACATAATAATAATATCATCAATGAAAAATATTTCTTGAACCAACTATATGGTATTATAATATAATCATTTATATTGTATAGTTTAAATGGCTTCCGCAGCTGATATAATAATAATAAAAATAATACCATCCATTGTTATAATATATAATGAGTTATAAGCCAGTGAGGTCGACTATGGCTTTAATAAAAATGGTGTCATCTCTCAGATACGAGCTTTTGCCTGCCAGCTTGGCGAGGGGGCAGAAGAGAGGACAACCGCTGGCAATGTTCATCTCACTGATGGGTCTCTGGAAGGATGTGGAGCTCACGTCAGGCCTAAAGGCATCGATGATGTGCTCTCGGTTGTTCTGATCCAAGAGCATTAATGTCACCTGGAAGGAAAAAAGAATTACAAATCAATGTAATGCCAAGCTTTACGTTCTAAAGGTTACATCGGACATCAGGTGACAGAATACATGTACTAACCCTTAAGATACAATAGTTATTACAACCACCACATTCTCAGCCATTTAACATTTAATAATCAATTATTCATTAGATGCAATATCCTAACTACATGTATTCCACAGTTTATAGATGTTGAATATAACAACAGAACAAACTCAACATTCAGTCCCTGCAATAAGTGATTCATCCACACATGAGTGGTGATGTGATGCTTTAGTTGGTAGAACAACCCTTAAAAATTTAAAGTAAGAGTAAATGAACGCCTGAAAGAGGAGTGAGAGCGTATCAGCTCATTTACCTTCTGGCTGAAGGGCCACTTCAGCAGTGCGTCGTATTTGCCCCTCATGACCACAAAGAACAGGGAGAGGTGAGTGCCCCGACCTGTGCCGTCACCGTTCAGGTACAGTCTCAGACACATCTTATACCCATATTTACTGGAGTAGAATGCTGAAGAACAGAAGAAAGGTGCTAAACAGCAGGGTCAGAAATTAACTCGGGCAAAAACATCACCAAAGGTGACTAAAATGCTTCACAAGAATCAGCTCCGAAAACAGTGAATACAATCTGAAAACTTAACTTTGACATGTAAAAACAGCATTTTATGTTATCAATTTGAATCAGTTGAAAGGCATTTAAAGGTGCAATGTGTAAAAAATTTGAGCATCTCTTAAAGGGATAGTTCACTTTGAAATTAAGTTTTGATATGTTTTAGCTTACCTCAAGGGCATCCAAGATGTAGGTGTCTGTTTCCACAGTATTTTCAATTTAGACATTTTTCGGTCAAACCGTTGTTGTCTGTCAGTCCTAAAATGCAGTTTTAGGGGGTCCACCTCAAAGAGCATGCACAGAGAAGTCCAAATTAAACATGATTTAATGACTCGTAAATGTAAGAACACATTGATGGCCTAAGACACGAAACGAGCGGTTTGTGTGAGAAAACGTACAGTATTAATATCGTTTTTTACCTCTTGTTAACAGCCGTCGAACTGATCTGAATCAGATGTCCAACTGAACCGAACTGAACCGTCTCCAGACGTTAAGCCGGAAGTGATCTCTCGCGCATCCACATCACGCATTGTTGACAGAGATTTCGGAAGTTTTACCCTTCACTAAACATATTTAGATATACGGGAAATTGCAATGGAAGACGATTTCGATATATCTAAATATGTTTAGTGAAAGGTAAACCTTCCGAAATCTCCGTGTAAACAATGCGTGAGCGAGAGATAATTTCCGGCTTAACGTCTGGAGACGGTTCAGTTCGGTTCAGTTGGACATCTGATTCAGATCTGTTCGACGGCTGTTAACAAGAGGTAAAAAACTATATTAATACTGTTCGTTTTCTCACACAAACGTTTGTTTCGTGTCTTAGGCCATCAGTGTGTACTTACATTCAGAAGTCATTAAATCATGTTTAATTTGGACTTCTCTGTGCATGCTCTTTGAGGTGGACCCCCTAAAACTGCATTATAGGACTGACAGACAACAACGGTTTGACCAAAAAAATGTCAAAATTGAAAATGCTGTGGAAACAAAGACACCTACATCTAGGATGCCCTTGAGGTAAGCTAAAACATATCAAAAATTTATTTCAAAGTGAACTATCCCTTTAACAGAAATGCAATGACATCCATAACTATGTTTTCAGTGGTGTATAAAGAACTTACTTAATAAACCTTAAAGTTTTTATTACCTTCGAATGAAACATTTATATCTACATAACCGCGGGCATCCCCTCTATGAAGGTCAACATATTGTGACATCATGTTTCTAGCGTAGCCGAACGCGAACACACAGCGCTACAGAACGCGTTTCGTTCATACCTTGAAAGAGAAGCCGCAGAAAGCTAGAAGCAATAGACACCGTGAGTAGTGACGTTTCCCTTGTCAGTGGTGTAAAATATGTAGTTGGACTGTTTCGTGTAGTTACTCTCCCTCGCTGTGTTATGGCTTTGCTATGTGGGGATAAATGTGCTGGTTACGTTTGTGAGACAGCTGATTAGTACTCTTGTCATTGACACAGTAACGTTACAGGAATAACAAGTCGATCTTAGAAGCATTTAAAGTCGATCGCAAAGAGTTTTCAAAATCAGAGAAGAAAGCCTATTGTATGTAGTAAATGGTGTCTAGGGGATGCGGAGGCACGCGTGCTGTTACAATCATGTCATTTGTGCCGTGCGCATCTTTGGGCGCATCGAGTTTAACCAAGGCTTTATGCTTTAACCAGCTCAGCCACAGTAACGGCTCATATTAGCCAGCCAAACTTTTACTACCCTGTTAGAAAACATATATAGTTGCATAGTTTCATATGTTTCTTCTCCCTCACTGTATTATGGGTTAGCTATGTGGGGAGAAATGTGCTGGTTACGTTTGTGAGACAATCCGTTGATTACTATTATTATATTATATATTAAGACCCTTGATCCTCACCTGACTATGGTTTTGTAAACTTTAGCCATGATGTGGTTTATAATGGACTGTGGTTCAGAAACAGTGACAATATTACACACTCTTGGCTCACTCTGGCTATTCTCAGCTATGTTTGTCCCGTTTTAGCCACCGTAGCTTCTTCGAAAGGGAGGGGTGAGCAGTGGGCTGAGCCCTTAGTGAACCGTTAGATGTCGCTAAAAATGACTCACTGCACCTTTAAAAAATGCATTCTAAAAATAACCTTCACATAAGCTTAAATTCCAGTCAGGACATTTTGCTAAGTGCCACAAAGCATCAAAGCCCTCAAGCTCCATTCAAGTTCTGGTTACAATTTACTATTTACAAAATGCAAAGTAGGATTAAAATTTATTGAACCAAGAACATTCCAGGACACAAGATCAATCAACAGCATTTGTGACAATGTTGAATACCACAGAAAATAATATACAATTATTAGTGCTGTAGCGATGATTCGACGTCAAAATTGCGTCGACGTCATATTTTTGCGTCGACGCTTCTTTATTTTTTTATTTTTTTTGCATGTTCCCGGCGGTACAGCTTGCCACACACACGTGGGAGACCGAAACATTGCAGAATAGAGGACGAAGACAACTAGAAGTGAATGTGCTATCCATTAAATGAATCACACACAGTAAACAAACCCTTAAGAAAAAAAATTGCAATTTAGACACGCAAACTGGGTACTGGTGTGGTGAGACGTACAAGCTCGGGCAGATTCGGCTTGAAGTCGTTCACGGACGCGGCGCCGGGCGCGTTGTTACAAAAAAAGGCATACACAGTCTTCCTGGTCTTGCGCACCCAACGGGTCATTTTTGCCGTGCGCACATTCGCGCTCGTGCGGACGTGTCGAGTATAAACCAGGCTTTAACTCTGATCAGTAGGTGAACTTCGCCTCCGACTCCGTTGCCCTCCTCAGCTGATATTAATATTTAAACATTCTCTATGATAAAAAATGTTTGTAAAAAATATTTTAATAACACGGTTTTGGCGGTTGTAGAGTTATGATGGTGTTCAAATACAAAACATTAGACTAACGTTAGCCAGCTTATAGTATCTTGATTCAGTATGCTAGTATTTATTTGAGATATTGTTTTTTTATTAATTGAGCAGCAGAAAAAATATTCTTTATATTAGTCATCCAATTAGTCATTAGATTAGTCGACTAATCGATAAAATAATCGCCCAACTAATCGTTTAGTTAATAATTGTTTACCCCAGCCCTAACAATTATACTATTATATAGATTATTCTCCTATAATCACCCCTTAGTTTCATGACAAATAGCTGTAAAGCCTGTACACCTGGTAACTTCCGTACAATGTCCCACATAAATAGCAAAAAGGGAGGAGACATAACTTCCTTTTATAGAGCTGAGCAGAGCATATCAAACATATGAGATTCATATTTCGGTCTTTAAACCCTCTGGGCACTGGTACGGTTTATGTACGTCCACAGTACGCGCCTCATGTAACCCTGATTTTTGCTTTCAAAATTGAAAAACAAACCAAAGGGTGAGTGCTGGAAATAATTTTCTGTTCTTATTGGACAACATGCAGCAAACACTGTTTATTGAGCTTAACTTGTACTGAACCTTGAATCTGATCTTAACCTTACCAGGTGAGAACATGGCAGGTGCTCGTCCTCCCACTGCGTCCTGTCTGCGACGAGAAAAGTCTGCTATTTTCCAAATGAACACTCCGTCGTATGTGCAGAACTGCAACTCCCGCAAAGACTGATCGGATTCTGCTAACTGCAGATCTCGCATGGTTAAAGTCCGTTCCAGCTGTCGCACCTACAAGAGTCACCAAAAACAGAAGGAAAACAGGGTTATGGAACTGACAAACAGCAATGTGGTTAAAATAAAGTAATGCTGATATACTAACATTTGAAGGACATATCTACACAATACTCTATCTGTCTTAGATGTAAAGTTGGCGACACTGGCACATTGTCTTTGGTTCATTGGTGCCTATGGTTCTATGGTAATTATTAATGGAGTAGTTCTGTCATTAAATGAAAATGAAGACGATTAACTCTTAAGCAGCAATGGTGGAGCTGTAGTAAAACAATGATATACTGACATATGATGGATAAGTAAAAACTTGTCTATTGTGTCTTTCTTAGATTTTTACTTTATTTGTACTTTTTCTTAGATTTTTACTAAAGTTCTGGTAATTGTTAAGAGTACTGTAGTACTCATTAAAGGAAAGATAACATTTTTTGGTTGAATTAGTCAACGCAAAACTGATCAATTAGCAGAAATTCCAGGATGGTTCCCACTTCAAATCCCATTTGAATTAAGGATCATGGCAGAGACAGCAGAGGCTCTTCTGCTGGGGGAGGAAAACCTGTTTCACAAGTAACAGTCGACAGAAACAAATCTTGCAAACAACTGTTTTATAGCGAAGGCTTCCACTGACAATACAAACAGACTATTAGGCCGGAGACACACTGGCTGCGTGGTGTGAGCGTGGCGTTTCCGTTACGTGCCACCTGCGTGGTGGCTGCGTCACGTTTTCTGTGTCTTTACACACCAGGAACATGACGCAGCACTGCTGCTGCTAGGTGACATATAGGGATAGTCTACATTTGGATTAGCGGTGTGTTGCTCTTGCCTTTACGACAACAATTTCAACTGTTATCACACATCTTCCAAAATCCGAAAAATATGGAAGAGGGCTGTCTGTTTATTTCAATAGCATTTACAAATTTTGTGTAGCTTTAACGAGCCTATATTTAGCCTGATGGTGGACCGTCACTCTGAACACACACTACGTTGTTATTGCAGCCTTATTTGTTGTTATTGTTATCTTATCTTTATATTCTCCTGAGGCCCAGAATGTTTTTTTCAAAAGTTTTTTTTTTCTTCTTAATGTAATGACATTGTTAAGAGCCTAAGAAACAACTGAAAAAAAAAAAAAGATATTTTATTCGTATGTTATGCTATGACATCTGTAGTAGACACCAGGACTCGATTAATAAATAAAAATGACATGAAATTCTATATAGGCAAAAATAATGGCAATATTTGAAAATCGATAATTATTATTATTATTCGTTTAAATTACATTGATATCTGAATATATGTCAAAACCTAGACTTTCAAACATCAAAATGTAATTTATTAATATGTATTCGTGTACAAAATTACATATAAACATTGTTTCCTATCGTTTTTTTACCTGGAAACGCTTCCAACACGCTTGCGTGTTGCGTGAAAAATAGTCATCGGTTCTATATCTAGTATGCACACTTTTCCCGCGTGTCACGCAGGCAGTGTGCAAGCTCTAACCTGTTAACATGGGAGTCGAAATAAAAATGGACACGCCACACAGCTGAAACGCTTATGCCAAGCAGCCAGTATGTCTCCGGCCTTAAGCTACAACAAAAAAAAATTAAAATAAAAACACTCTAATTTGGGGCACAGGCCATGTTGCCCCAAATTTGCATGACTTTTTTCTTCTAACGCATAATGCACCATCAGAAAAAAGTAAATTGTAATAATAAATTCACAGAAAAAAAACTTTTAATAAGACTTCAGAAGTTGTATGGACCACTTAATGTATAATGCTTTTTGTTATTTTTGGAAATAAATAACAATTTCTGTCCCCCATTCACTATCATTACATGGAAAATTGGAGTCTTCCAAGTGGAGTAAATCATACAGGTTTGTAACAATATGATGAGTCATATTTGTGTAAACTATCCTTCAAAGTAAAATGTTCACCAGTCAGTTATAAAACAAGATTGATCAATACGTCATTATTTGGTTACCTGCAAGGTGAGAGCCTCGCATCACCTTCGGACACATAGCAGAGCATCATAACCATCTCTGCTATCCGAAAGAAAAAAAAATCCTATAAATCCAACTTAGCGAGCGCTTTTTTTTTTTACTATAAGGGTATGATTTCCTGCAAGGTGTGCGGTGTACCTTGTTTGACAAGTTCTCAATCTTTTCCTGGTCTAGCCGATGTTGCCGGGACAGCGCCTCCAGGGTGAGGGCCGAGCGTTCAACCTCTCGGTTCAACACACAAACTATGTTCTCCAAAGCTGTGACTTTCTGCTGCACACCAGGACCGCCTCCTCTTCCTGCATTATGGGCGGCAGCATCAGCCCCCGCCAGAGGTGCATCTTCAGGTCCGCGATACAATCCCAGCCCAGAATCTTCCTGCCACTCCACAGCCCCCTCGGCTCGCAGGCGCACAGATGACAGCACACCCAGCATGAGACGCAAATGCTCCATCACACTGGTCTGCTCATGCTCCTGCTGCTTACCGTTGTCAACCTAAGAACATTCATATATTATTTAAAAAAGGTAAAAAAAAAAGGTTACATTAAAGCAAAGAGTGGTGTCATTTCTTTGATGTTAAAACACTTAATTTATGTTGAAAAATGTCATATGGTTATCAAAGAGAAAGAAAGGGTTAAAAAAATCTAATCAAGGCAAGACAACTCAGGTGAATAGGGTACGTTTAACTAAGATATCACTATGCTTGCCCAGTTAATTAATCACAGAACATTAGGACATTACATTTTGAATATTCCAAGTCATTATCTAATTGAAATTAGTGACAACTCATCCTAAAAATGAGCTCTGCCACCACAGCATCCACTCCAACATTGGTGATCACAAAGTCACAGTCCACAGATTAATGCATAATGAAAAGAAAATTTCAGTTTTCATGTATGAAAGGAAGTCACTTTTAGTAAACATCCCCATCAGATGATAAATGATAATCTACTGCAGTTGACTCCCGTTAGAAGTGCATTTTTCATATGAAATAGTTTTAGTAAATGTCTGATATTAGTTTTGGCAGATCTGTCATATCCACAGGTTGGAGTGGCAGTATAACTGGTGGCAGGTCAGAAGAGGAACACTATGGACCAGAGCAGAGACGAGAAGGTTGTCATATTAAATGTCACTCCAATGACTGTGATTACAGGAGACAGAACTTGCAATAGCCAAAATTAATTTGTTTTGTTTATTTTTGTTTTGACATTCCCAATATTAGCAGAACAGGCTATCAGGACCAATAAGCAATTGATATTAAAATGTAAAACGTTAAGCAAACGTAAAGGTGACACCCCAAAAAGTCAGCATGAGCTAAATACTATGCACTTCAGCATTATTGAACATATTGTGATGTCTAGGGTCGTCCTTAGGGCAGTGCAACCGGTGCGACCGAACCAGGCACCAGGAGGGGGAGCCCAGGGGCGGATGATGTCATTACTATTTATCTTCACCCCACCCTCCCCAACTTAATGTTCAGGCACCACTGACCTTCAACAAAAATATTTTTTAGCTCCATTTCCTGAATTGATGCTACCTGAGCTCATTAATGCGGTTAATCTTGGCAATGAAACTGCAATCATTTAAACTTTTCTTATGTGCTTATACTTGTATACTTTTACTTATTCTGCAGTTTCCCTACCTCAAATTCTGAATAGACACACCCTTGACTCTATTCCCAGGCACAATATCTGTGATGAGCACAGGCACCACCCAATGCACCAATAGTGTGACCACCACTTGATGATCTAACTGATGGACTTTCATTTTAGATTGCTTTGTTTCTACTGCAGCTCTCCAGTTTATTCTCTGACCAGTAGAGGGCACGTTCTTAAAAAGAGGTGCACTGGGGAAATCCTTTGACTTTCCTTGAAGACTTCAGAGGTAGGAAACACTTCATTTTAACTTACTAACTGTGATGTCAACAGTAGAGAACAGAGGCGTGAATTTATGATATAACATCTGTTACCGTCTGAAATGCATTTCCCCCAATGATTGACCAACTTTTGCATATACAGCATATTTGTCTTAACCAAGAGTTTGGGACTTTTCTAACCCAACCTCCAATGGTTTGGTTTTATTTTAGAGTCATGTGGAAAAAAATGCAAACTGAAAGATAAAATAGATCCCACTGGTCTGACTAATTCAGACAAAACAATCTTAAGGATTTTGAAAGTTATGACGCATTTCAGAATGGCTAAAGACCCATTCACATGAAGCTGGTAACTATAACAATGTCTGTCATTTTAAAAATCGCTCTAAATGTAAAAGAATAGTAGAATAACGATAATGGCACTGAGAAACAATATCGTTGGAATCATTTTCACACTTTATTTTTCTAGCTGATGAATGAAAAAAAACATTGACAGCCATTTAGAATCCATTCTACTTTAAAGGGATTTAGTATTCAACCCCCTTAACTATCACCACCCTGGACGCTTGGTGCTCTTTTTTAATTATCGACTCTTTTGTTCTATCACATATTTTAGTAATCATCATAAATTAGGCATCATTTGAACGCTTAAACACTCTTAATTCATCCTGTAAAAACCATTTTGAAATTGGACATTGTGTTACCATTGAAACCATACTTTACATTCTTCTAGCAGGCTCCTCCCCCCTAATGGGCGGTTTCTTGTTTCATATTACAACATTTATTTGAACTATTTTATAACCAAAACTTTTTTTAATCTTGAATAAAACACATATCGTCAGAAAGGTCTGAGAAGTGCTTGGCACTTTTTCCTTATCTGCAAGCAGGCAGTAGATCTGCGGCAAACAACAATTTACATAGAGCCTCAAACTTTTTAAAACTCCAATTTGCAGTTGATTTTCAATGGAGCTGTTGAAGTACTTCCTAATACCGTGTATATTAGGAAGTACAGTGTGTGACAGCCACATTGGAAACTAGCTACAGTTCAAGTTCTATGAAGTTTGAGACTGTGTGTGTTACTCTAGTGAATCATTTAATGGAAACTTGCATGTAACGATATGAAAGGAAAAAAAAAATATGGTTCAGCTACGAAGATAAATAGCAAAGTGGGTTTTAAAAGGTCGGATGTGCTGTTTCATAACCATGTACCATTATCATTTTTAAAATTTGCCCTCAAAGGTTTTTCGTTAGAAGCTCAAACCTTATCCACGCCTTCTATTCAGAATTGACTCAATGTCTATTCTAATCCAAAATGCATTCATGAGAAACAAATACACACCACAGCCCTGCAGCCAATCTCACTGAACTGGCACGCCGACTTTGACTTTGCACAAGATTTGGTGTGCTCTTGAAACTGCAAAAAAAAAAAAAAAAAGAAGGAGAAAAGAAAACGTTAGAGAAAAAAAAGGTATTTTATGAATGTAAATAAAATAAGGTATAACTATTCCTTTATTAAAACTGACATACATAGCAGATTTGTATTTTTGTTTATATAATTTATGACAGCACGTTACTAGCAGTTGTGTGCAAGTGAAAAAGAAACATAGGCCAATATACTTTCAACATTCATTTAAATAGCACAAAGAAAGCAGAAACAATGTATGGCTGAGAACAGAGACTAACCTTCTCTCTGGGGATTTTCTTTTTACCACAGTCTTTGCATTGCATAGGGAATTTCTGACATATTTCATCATGGGCCTGAAACAGAAAAGAGTAGTGTAGGAGGCAGAATCAGTAAAGATGATATAACTATTTTACCTGACCTTTCTGCTGTGTTGCTCAACCGCTATGCATTACCTATGCATATCATTTTTTAGAGGTCTCCTGACATGGGGTTATTTTATTATTTTACAGTATAATGTTTCCTGCCCTTACAAAGTTAATATGGTTTTTTTTAGATCAAAAATGGTCATAATTTAGAAATAAAAGGTATTTTTCCTGAATGATTTTGAGAGAAAGATTCCCTGTCTGAACTTGAGCAATTATAGCCTGGATGCCAGACCTAACCCCGCCCACAACATTTTTTAGTCAGGAAGTTCGGTTTGGACTCGATCCATTGAGGAGTAATAGGGGATTATCACGCTGACACGTAGTACTTCCGCATTCAGTGATCTTTGCCAGAGGCGAACCAACAGTGAGTGGGGGCCCCAGGCAAAATTAATCAATGAGGCCCTTCACTCTAAAAAATGATGGGTTATTTTAACCCAATTTTGGGTAAAATATGGACAAACCCAGCCATTGGGTTACATTTTTAAATGACATTTTTTACCCAATGGCTGGGTTTGTCCATATTTTACCCAATATTGGGTTAAAACAACCCAGCATTTTTTAGAGTGTTCTAAAATAGTTTTTTTTTTGTAAATATATCTTTGTTTCCTATATACTAGAGATATAATTATACAACATACAAAAAGTAGTCAAACACATCTAACAGAACAAATTGTTTATTTTTTTACAACATTAAAGTACTTATGTTTTATCAAGATACAATATCATTCTCAAGGTACAGTACATAAATCTTCATATTTATAATCTATTGTCACCTTAAAAACACTACTTACGAGCCTTAGCTACGGAAAATGCTGTCAGCTGCGTTTCAATAGCCCTGCAATTTGCGCAAATTGAAATTGCAAATTGAAAATACGCTCAATGGAAACACGTCAATTTCGCAAAAACTCCCGTTTATCGCAAAAAGGGTTTTATGCTCTCATGAGGTTTTTCAGGCAATTCGAAAAAGGATTTTTCCGCAAAACTGCAATGGAAACGCGGATTTTGCGCATTTACAGTCACCTGACTTAGAAGACGGAGTGTGTTTTAGGTCCGTGTCCGCAAATAATAATAATAATAATTATGATCATTAGCCTATTATAACATTTATTAGTCTACATAGCCTATAGAAGACGCTTTTATCAAACAAAAGGAACAAAGCAATTCGTCACATCTCATTCATAGTAGGAGGTTGGACAATAATAATAATAGGGCTAGATTATCACAAATAAACACTCGATTTTGTCCAATATCCAAGAGTGCGTGCGGAGTTTGGAGCACGCACTGGATGGCAGACAGACGCGGGCGCGCCGTGAACACTTTCATTTTCCCATCAACAGTGGAATCAACTTAAAATACTCTATCATTTCTGGTTATACAGAAAATAATAATACATTATTCGCAACTACTTTTATTTGCGTAATGTTACAATAACAAGAAAACGTTGTGCTTTTGTAAAATAACATAAAACAGTCAGGTCCGCTTTATGATCTTCGTGAACTGGAGCGCGAGACCTGAACCAGTGTCCTTTATAGACTAAAGCTTGAAATATCCACTTTAAAAAGAACAAATTCGAATCGTAAACTAATACCTTCTGATTATGTAATCCGTATGAAAGGTGCCGTTCTCTCTAAAGGTCTATCCGGATTATGTTTTTAGCTCGTTATTTTTTCAGACGCATAATAACTCTCCTATAGCCACAGCACTGCAGGAAAAATATCATAAATATCCATGTTCTAATTTGGCCTTAGAAAACTAGTAAAATCAAACATTTTCCCCATATTAATTTGTGAATATTTTAAATGTTTTAAAGGGGGCAAAAAGTCAAACAAATATATGAAAATTTGTTGAGATGTTATAGCGCAGCTATGGTGTGGTCAAACTAAAATGTTGGTGTTCAACTTTGCATTTTAAAAATACAACAACCGTTCATTTTTCGTTTTGCAACGGCCGTTTTGACATAATGTTCTTTATTAAATTCTTCTTCTTCTTTTTTTTTTATTTATTTTTTTTTTTAAGAAACAATAATTACAGGAATAGCCTCTTCAAAGAAATACCATCAAGACATTGAAGCAGAAATAAGGGAGACACGCAGGAACTCCATGACTTTCCCTGCCATTAATGCTTGAATAACACACGTCTCCTTCCATTAATAATGTCTAGTGCGGTGCATATCTGTGAAATAGGTAAACTTACCAACGTCCGTTGCCATGATTTTTGGAATGACTTATCGCGAGAGGAAAAAAAAGACGTTCGGTTAATGGAAACACCGTCATTTCGCAATAGTTTTTTATCGAAATTTGGAAAATATTGTAAAAGTTTTGCGCAAATCTGTAGCCTAATGGAAATGCGCAACGTTATCGTTTTAAAGATCTTTACAGAAAATAAATGCATATGTTTTCTGTAAAGATGCTTTAAAACGATATGTACTGTTACTAGTGAGAATATGTGAACTGAACAACGAAACGATTTTTTTGTCATTAATTAGCTAAGTCAATCAATCATCATCATCTCATTCTCCATCACTTACCGCAGTCCTGTTTTCTCTTCTCCACTTCATCTTACTTTTTTTTCACTTCTGGCTGCCAGTTGGATATGTCCTCTGCATGTTTAATACATGAATTCATGCATTTTCGGATATGATTTTCGGTTTCAGAAACGCGAGCAAGCGCTGCGACAGTTTGAAAAAGGCGCCAGAGGTGGCGAAAGCATAAGCAGCCTCGCGAGAGAGGGGGCCCCACTAAGGGGGATGCCGAGGTGTTGCGGTGTCACTGCGTGTTATATTAATACGAACATTTTTGATTGTTTAAATCATGGGTCACCAAACTAAGGCCCGCGGGCCGAATCAGGCCCGCCACACCCCTTTGACTGGCCCCCCAACCCCTCTGCCCCCCACTACTTGAACCGGCAATCCCCAAAACTCGTCATGGCCTATTTTTTTAAATTGCTTTTTGGAAAATAATAACATGTCTGCATTTGGTATTTTGTTGTTTATTGAGCATGCTCACCTGGATAGGCATAAGAGCTGACTAGTTCTATTACTCATGTTGTTGTTATAATTTCAATGTTTATTTATTTATTTTATAGGCCTATTTATTTGACCTTTATTAAGTGCTGTACACAATTATTATAAATAGTAACAGGCCTACCTATAATTTATAATTTTTCATTCATCCTTACCAGTGCCACTCACCTCAACTAGGCAGATGTTTCTTACCTTGACAGGTTTGATGTTATTTGTATTTGAAAATAAATAAATGGAAAATCTGTGGTATTTCAAATTAAAACAAAGTGTGAAGACTCGATTACTACTTTTGCAAACAACTATTAATGATAAACAAATATGGCTGTGCCAGGCTAGTAATCTCTACTATGAGGCCTGCTGGTGGTCAGTTTGGTCTTGGTCACACAATTCTATTTTATATAGCCCCGGCCCCCCATCACAGTCAGGAACGATAATGTGGCCCCCAGAGAAAAAAGTTTGGTGACCCCTGGTTTAAATGATCGGCCCTCGGGGGCCCCCTCAAAATGCGGGGCCCCAGGCAATTGCCTGCCTTGCCTGCCCTATTGCAGCGCCTCTGATCTTTGCGCACTGCTACTTCAGTTGAATCACCGATCACTCTGGCGAACTGTTGACGGACTACACTAGGTTTATTTATACGGCATCCCTAGTAAATTAGTCTGATTCACTAAAGTGCCGGTGTCGTGCCGAAAAGTGATGGTCTGCCGAAAATTGATGGCCGGCCGCGGGAGCGTGTGCAGCGTGTTAAAGATGTATCGCCCATTCTCTTTACAAATGCAGTTGCTTTTATGTGGATCAAACAGACATAACTTGCAAATAAACACTCACTTTTTACCAATTAAAATACCTGCAAAAAAGGGCCAATACAACCATTATACTGCAGTATTTCATCTGCCAAAAAGTGATTGAAGCCTCTACATATTGATTGAAAGGTTATTTCTGCCCTAAAATTAGTTGATTATATTCATGATGAGTAAATCTGACTGATTATAACTCACCTACTACTTTTACCTATTAAAATACCTGTAAAGGGCCAATACAACCATTATAATGCAGTATTTCCCTTTGAACAAACGCGCTACCTCGTTTTATTTTAAAGTTTGGACTTTCATCCCGGCAAACCGCTTTAATCCACTTCTTAATTAAACTCAATTCAGTCGGGAATCCATGAAAACTTAAGTAGGGTTGGCGTTGTTAGTTAGATTTACAAAGTGGAACAGAGCAGTGACATCTAGCCTTCGCTGCATCAAACAATGGTGAGGCTTTGTACTACTCAAATGAACACGCTTCTTCAGCCAGGTGTCTTTCATCGTCTCTCCAATTATTAAAATCAAGGCGCACTCCAACCGTGTTATAAAGTTGAGACAGGTCCGACAAATGCAATCAGATTTGATGGGTTTTTTGTCGAGATCGAATCCTAAACGAAGAACTTGTTTCTATATACATTCACATTTTCTATTTCATTCAAAAATGTTTTTCAAGTTTGCAAGTACTCTGCAAATCCTTAATTTATTTTTTTTTCAACAACGGCAAAGGTCGTTAACACTCATTTTTCCTTTAAATACTTTTTCCAGAGTGCATGCAGTTCAGTTCTGTTGACAACTCACTCAACATATGTCACTTACTGCTTTGCTCTGATTGGTTGTATGTCTATTCAATTGAGTGCAGAGTTTTTTTGTTTTTTTTTCTTGATTCGATTAAGACACGCCTCATTATCAAAGCCCTATGGAGCAGTATCAGACTCACATTCTGAATAGAATATCAGGCAAGAACAATTAGGCTACACATCAGAAATTGTTGCTTGGTAGCTCGATCTATTTATTTTCAGACGTTCATCGAGGCCAGCTCTGTATTGGCCCAAGTTGAGGAAACAGTCATCTGTGAAATGTTTGGACCATTCAAAACTTTGGGAAGTTGTGTCGGCGCATTTCCAGAGAAAATAAAATTAACTCATTGTTTCTCAGATGAAGGAACTAAAAAATACGTTTATGTTCATTTGCTCATTATGTGCATTCGCTCGTTTGCAAGCCATGATATCTCGAGGAAAAACTCAAATCATGTTCACACTTCCGAGCTTATTTTCTCATGAGTGAGCCACATTCTCTGGGTGGGCAAAGCAGAGAAAGGGGAGGTAACCTTTCCCTGTATAACGTCATACAGGGGAGATTCAAGATCAGCACGTCTGAGGTTTCATTTTCTCAAAGGCAGAGAAAGATAGCCAAAGCTTAGTTTACACCCATTGGAATTTCTAGCCACTGGGGAAACGTACAGGCTAGGGGAAGTCATATTAATGTTAAAATACCCTCAGAAAGTGAAAATTTCATGTCAGGGGACCTTTAAGCTACTTTCATGAGAAAGAGATCAGCGGCTTTCAATCTCCAATAATAAATAATAAAAATGACCATAAAAGTACACTATATAACTTGCATGATAACTGTGCGAGGAACATAAAGAAAGCTGTAATTCACTGACATGCTTGTCCTTTTCTCTCTAAAAATGCCAGTCACTGGTTGCCATTCACTTTTATAATATGGAAATTACGCTTGAATATTCTGGCAGAGGTAAAAGTAAATCATGAGAGAGAATTATCAATTTTGGTTCAACTACCCATTCCATAATGAATTCAGCCACATTGGTGTGTAATGCAATTACCCTTTGCCGTGGCAATTTATTATTGCAACACATTGAGTCTGTTGGCACAGACCACATACCAATCAACAGTAAACTTGAGAACAGATCAGTTCAAGGGCTCTTACCTTAATTTCCTTAAAGTTGAATGTAACCTTGCAGTATTTGCAGTTTAGGGTTCTGGCCTCGCATTCACGATCATTGTGGCGGTCTTTCTCGCTAAGCAAGATGACTGCTTGGCATGCTTCACATTTTACACGTTCAAATTCACAACGACCTTCATGTTGACCCTAGTGAAGGAAAGAATTATCTGTAAATTTCTAGCAGGAATGTTGAAAAGAAAAATATCATAGTTAGCTTACTATGTATGACTGCCAACTCTTGAATTGTCTTTCATGTGCCCCATTTTCAATTATCTTGAGACTGTTAACAGCTTTGTATAGCTGTTGTTCATTCTATTTATTCCCATGTTATTATTTGTATGCAATTCCTGTTTTCAAGTTAGAAAATGGTCACAAGACATCACCGTATGACTGTATGGCATATCGACCTTGTGATTAGAACAAGACAAAACAATTGTGTCTGGATTACCTAAAACATTTCCTGTTCATTTACACAATTTCAAAAATCCCTTAGATGTGTTTAATGGGATAATTCATAAAAAAAAAAAAATGAAAAATAAAAATCTGTCTGTTCCTTGCACAAAATTAGTGTATGGCTTCAGAAGATTTAATATATATATATATATATATATATATATGGTTTGGAATAACATGAGGTTGAAAATATAATAAATAAATGTTAAAATCATGTTTTTAGATATTGAGAACTAACATGATCAAACAATGAACAGTTTATTTTATTAACTTTAGCAAATATTAACAAATACAGAAACAAATGAATTGATCATGGTTAATGTAAGTTTATTCATTAGTTAATTATAATAAATTAAACCTTATTGTAATGTGTTAACATTTGTGCTTCACTACCTCATCATACTATTAGTTTCCATTCTCAGTGTCTAGATCAAAGGTCAAACAATTGTAAAGCAGCAGTGTTGTGCAAATGCCTTGCCTATTCATGAAACATTATATATAATAATTCTAAAGTTACGTAAAAAGGGTGTGTGGTAAATGCCATGGCAGTTATATCTGTTACTCAGAAAAAGCAAACAAGAAGATAAGCTTCAAGCTTAGACACACCCACTTTTTTTCTTCTTCAAATTTCAAAAGCTGCATTTCAAGCAAGTACATGTTTTGTTAGATGCAAACTGTGCAATGTGCATGTTCAAGTGAAATACTATGGAACATATTTTACTTCCATAATGTGACGTATTTCTAGGTGAAACATCACAGATCAAAGACCACAGTGTCACAGATGAATAGACAATAAGGAACATGAGTTTAACATTTAAGTTAACACATGGACAATAAGGAACATGATGACAACAACCCAATACAGGTACAGTAAAGAGGGTATGCTTCAAATCCAACTTTCGCTGCCTGGAGTCCAGTTGTTTCTATGAATTGCAGCGATTTATTTGCTTCGCTGTTCTGTAACTTTTGGCAGTCAGTAAAAATTTACCTCAGATTTCTCGTCAAATCTAGTTGTACAGTCAATCGCAAAGCTCTTTCCCATTGTGGGTGTGTCATTGTGTGTTTTTCACGTCATTCACACTGAAAAACGCTGCTGCTCAGTCATTTTGCCACTTAGTGGACGTAACTACAGTCACTGTGACCTCTTTTTCTGGTTTGAAGTGTCATACATCTAGCACTTAAAGTCAACTTGAGTTTAATACATTTTAAGGAAGTAAAATTTGATCCCATTTACTTGCTAAAAGGATGTTCCTGATCTTATTGTGAGCAGTGGGTTGCTAACGACAATTTCTGTTGACTTTACTGTCCAAAACTACCCTCAAATTAATTCTGGAACAATTGGCCTGGGATAACTATTGCAAAAACTTTTAGGGGAATTTCCTGCTTTATCTCTTTAAACACCATGTCTCCACACAGATGAATCAACACTGATTCAGAGTGGGTTATATGGTTTCAGAACAGCTTTAGTCAGGGTTAAGGTTACTTAGTCACTAAATAAGTCAAAACGGAAGAATGCAGTCAGACTGATACTTTTACCAGCTAAATTTAAGTAAAAAACCAAGACAAAGTTAAAATAGTTTCAGATTTTTAAAAGAAAGTCAGAATGGAAACTTGCTGTCAAATATACTAAACTATTCAATAAATGTGTTTGAAAAAAAATGTATTTGATGAAAATGATTTACAACATACCAGTTGTAATATATATTTATAACTATAATTAAATTATAATTGCACAAAATGGCAATGAGAGTTATTATGGTTTTAGCATTATAAAAATACAAAAACAACACTGCCCAAGATAATGAGCTTTTAAAAACAACTAGCTTTTCATACGGTAATGCTGGTACTTTCCAGCTAGCTCTGGGACTTTCCAAACAACCCCCATCCTTCCTGCTGATTATTATAACTCTGCGAGCAGCAGTCATCATTCTTTTTTTAAAGAGTAAAAGTCAGACTTTATATTTGACTTTATAGTCAAGTTAAGTCCTCTTTATTTATATAGCTTTTTAAACTATACATATTGTTTTAAGTCATCGGGCCAGTTCATCTCTGCCCAATGAACGAAAATGAACACGTGTCATTATGATTCAAGCTGCATCACAGGTTAGAATTCAGATTGGGATCAATATACTACACAGTTTTCAGATTAGGTTATTTGTTTAGTGATTATCAGGTTACTTGCTTAATTTCGGCTGGGTTTGGTTTGAAATATGTACAAAGTCACTGTGAGGCAACCTATAACAGTGCATTTCAAAATGAAGAACATTCTATATGACAACAAGCTAGATGAACTATGTTCTTACCTCATAGTCTTTCAGTGTGCCAGACCAACAACAACCGTCATTTGGGCATTTAGCAGGCAAGCTATCAATTTCTCTTCGTGCTGCATTGTCAGGAAATGCCTGGGGGGGGGGGGGGGGACAAAAAAAAAAAAAATTTTTTTTTAAAAAAATATTTTTTTTTAATTAAATTTTTTTTCATTCATTTTTTTCATTAATGAATACCTTTTGAAATTCTATTCCTGTACATGTCATTGTGTCATTGTCTCCACTGTGTACTTCAACAGTATCCTTGCAGTGTACATTTGGCAATAACAGGAATACACTGAATATGAGTTACCAGGAAATTAAAAAAATATATGAAGAGTTCAGATGCAAAAGCCTCTAAAAGCCATTTGAAATTTTCTTCTTTAATGATGATTTTTATCAAACTTGTATATTTAAGTTCAGTAATTTCACTTAAATGGCAAAGATAATTACCTATTAATTGTTATTTAAGTGAAATTACTGAACTTAAATATACAAGTTTGATAAAAATCATCATTAAAGAAGAAAATTTCAAATGGCATTTAGAGGCTTTTGCATCTGAACTCTTCATATATACTACATTTCCAAGAGGTATCATTTAAGAAACATATCTTACCACTGTAATATTGAGCATAGACATCGCCTCTTCAAATATACCCTCAATACGACAGGCTTCGCAGGGTATGGGCCCTGAGCTAATGAAGAGGAAAGATTTTACTTTAACAGGTGCAGGAGAGGAGAGCATGAGGAGAAAGGCAATCAATCAATAAACACTTTAAACATCACAATTTTGGGAAACCATTAATATACAGGCTTTTCTTTCCTCTGGCTATTTATGAAACAAGAAGAAAGAAGTGATTTGATAATGGTAAAACTGAAGTGAAAGCAGCATGTGTGCAGAATTACATAGAAGTAATGTATTTATGAAGAAGGGTAAGTATGTTGCAAGAAATGTTGGGAAGCATTCAAAAACGTTGACCCCTATTCCCTTTTTATTAGTGTTGCACAATATACCTGTACTAGAAAGGTATTGCGATACCCACTCTTAGAAGAAAAGGTTCTATATAGAACCTTAAAAGGTTCTAAAGCGCTGCGTATTTGGAACCCCTAAAATGCAATGCATGTGACTGATCACAAAATTCAAGATATGGGGGCTAAAAAATGTAATTAATCAATATCACAAGAAGAGTGCCATTTCAGTTTTTATCCTCCAAAAATCAGCATGACCAAAATGGGATATTAAGTTACTACAACAGTTTAATAAACAATAATTTAATTACTTACAACTGCAAAATGTTGCAGAATAATGTAATAATATATGACTGAATAGTAGCCTATAAAGAACCTCTGTGCCAAAAGGGTTCTTTCAGTTCATTATCATAATTGTTTGCACAAAAGGTCTTTTGCAGTTGAGTAAAGAACCCTATGCTACATATAAAGAACCCTTTTTTCTAAGAGTGTGCTTTTAAAAAGTTATGGTTCCTCATTTTACTAGTACTGGTACTTTAAGAATGACATGCAACAACAGGGCAGTGTGTGTCCAGGGCTTTGCTTCCACTCTCTGTAGACACACTAGCCATGCCAAACTTTATACATCTTCACAGCACAGGACTTCTAAACGTTATGGACAAGTGAGAGTGATTAAGAAACATGCATGAATGAAAAAATTACAAGGTACATTCTTGATGTTTTTAAGTTATTAAGCAGAATAGGCCTCGAAAAACAACTAAATTAAGTACTCATACTACACCCGAAGTATACGGAACACGATAACAAAGTAAATCGCTTCTGGGTTTTACATCAAAACGTCGGCTCATAGGCCAGCTCCAGCATCAGCATCACATGTCGCATTAAGCCTAGTTCACACTACATGATTTTAAAATGTCGGGCAGAACTGTGCGGTTCACACTACATGACTTGTTCTCTCTGAAATCAGGACTGTTCAACGCACTACACGAGTTGACAACAACTCGGTCACCCAACGATTCTATTTTGTCTACAAACCACGTTTTGTCACGAAAAATCATAAAACAACCGAAACACCCGGAAATGAAAACACGCAAATATGGACGTCAGACAAAAACTAGTGCTGCAAACTGTTTGCGCGATGATTTGCTCTGAGAAAAAACGTGAAAAAAAAGGAAATTTACCCGATGACCTCAACCCATGCCTTGCTCTGATGTCTCATGACATCACGTGCGACAGCTCTGGATATCTAGCATGCTAGATATTTTTCTGGGCTCTGCGACGCGTCTGCAAATGTCTTTGATGCATTGTTGGCTCTTTCATACTAATAGATTGGCGAGCGTTCATCACCCACTAATCCTCCGCGATTTGCACGTGATAACACCCTGACCTGTCGGCGAGCTCAATGATTTTCAAATCGGCTTAAAATCATGTAGTGTGAAGTAGGCCTTTAGCCGACGTTCTGGCATAGAACCCGGAAGTGCTGTACTGTGTTTACTACACAAATAGTGCAGGAGATCCAACAGAAAATAAATTGTTGAATAAAGTGAAGTCCTTATTTTTTTTTTATTTCAGTCGCTTCACAACATTACATTTGAACCACTGCTGTCACATTAACTCACAAAAGCAGTCACGAACAGAAGAGAGACATAGAAGAGACATCTGTCACGAACAGAAGAGAGACATAGAACAATGGCAGGTGAGAAGCTTTAGTTAATAAGCAGATGGTGGGAGTGCACAAGCCTGAGGTAGATATTGATGCTTTCCAGACGATTGAGGAAACCAGGATCTTTTAGGAGTGACAGGGAGTCTAAAATTCTCTGACAAGACAACCAGACAATAAATGAAGGGACGTGGGGGTTTTTAAGTGCTGGAAGTGATGAGCGGGTGCAGGCGTGGTAAATTAATATTCAGGAGATAATGAGCGAATGAGTGGATTTGGGTTATTAGAGCCTGATGGTGTGGCAGGTGTTACAGATGACTCTGTGACAGTACCCCCTCCTCCATGGGCGGTTCCTGACGCCCTAATGACTCGTCGACGGGTCGGCCTCGACCCCTAGGAGCTGGGCGGTTGGGATGAGCCTCGTGGAACTGGGTGAGGAGGGATGGATCAAGAATGTCCTCCCTTGCGACCCATGTGCGTTCTTCAGGTCCGTATCCCTCCCAGTCCACGAGATACTCCAGGAGGCGGCCTCGTCGACGGGAGTTTAGGATGTTTCGGACGTGGTAGATGGAATCTTCTTCGCAACTTCAGGAGGAGGAGGTATGTCCATGACATCAGACCCTGGGGAAGAGGAAGTTAGAGGGTCAGTGAAAGGTTTTAGAAGGGAGACATGAAATGACGGTGCAATGCGGTAGCTTGGGGGAAGGCGAAGCTGGTAGGTGACTTTGGAGATTTGTCTTTCAATGGGGAAGGGACCTATATACACCGAGGACTTGCTGGGTAGGCGAAGACGGATGTCTCTGGTGGATAGCCACACATTTTGACCTGGTTGATACACGGGGGTTTTACATCTCCTAGTGTTAGCTTGATTCTGGTGACGTCGTACCGCTCTCTGCAAGTGGACATGCGCAGAGTTCCACACCCTTTCACTCGTCTCAAACCAGGTGTTGATTGTTGGGACCTCAGACGGCTCCCCAAGCCATAGAAACAAAGGGGGTTGGTATCAGAGTATGCATTGAAAAAGTGTGAGACCGGTGGTATACTGGCATAGTGAGTTTTGAGCATACTCGGCCCATGGGAGGAAGCGGCTCCAGCTGTTTTGATTCTGATTGCAGTAATTTCGCAGATATCTCCCAATTTCCTGTACTTTCCGTTCCATTTGGCTGTTGGCTTGAGGGTGGTAGCCTGAGGATAGGCTGACTGAAACGCCGAGCAACCTGAAGAAAGTGTGCCAAACGCGGGAGATGAATTGGGTACCTCTATCAGATACTATGTCTTCTGGAAGAACAAAATGGCGGAAAACGTGTTCAAACAGCTTGTAGGCAGTTTCGAAGGCCGTGGGGAGACCCTTCAAAGGGATGAACTTACAGGCTTTGGAGAAGCAGTCCACTACGACTAGGATGCAGGTCTGTGAGTCGGAAGGAGGGAGGTCGGCCATGAAATCTATACCCAGATGGGACCACGGTTGACGAGGTATAGGTAGAGGTTTGAGCTTACCCTCTGGGAGCTGACGTGGGATATTGGTGGTGGCACAAATCGAGCATCCACAAACATAGCAGGAGACATCCTAGGTGTGGTGAAGATGGAACATATGTCCGGCTTTCGGGACCTCCTGGTGGAGCCGGTTCAGCACGGGTTGCCATATGGATTTGATTGTCTAGGGTCCATTCAATTGGACTAACGACTACGACAGGAGGGAGAATGGGCTCAGGAGGTGACACTATTGATTCTGGCGCATGAAGGCGGGAGAGTGTGTCGGCCTTCTGATTCTTATCTCCAGGACGATAGGTCACACGAAAGTTAAAACGGGTGAAGAAGAGTGCCCATCGAGCTTGGCGAGTGTTCAGACGTTTGGCTTCACGAAGGAACTCGAGGTTGCGAAGATCTGTTACGACCTCGACTTGATGGTGTGCTCACTCCAGCCAGTGTCTCCATTCTTCGAAAGCCAGTTTGATGGCCAACAGTTCACGGTTTCCAATGTCATAATTTAGTTCAGCCGGGGACAGTTTCTTTGAATAGAAAGCACATGGATGGAGTACTGGCGGTTCTCCTTGGTACTGGGATAGAACGGCTCCCACCCCGGTTGATGAGGTGTCCACTTCCACCATGAAGGGAAGATCTGGATTGGGATGGATCAGGATGGGAGCAGAACAAAAGGCTTCTTTGAGTTGTTGGAAGGCTTGAACCGCCGCTTGACTCCAAGACAAAGATTTGGGTCGGCCCTTGAGGAGAGAAGTAAGCGAGGAGCTGATGGAACTGTATTGGTGGATAAAACTGTGGTAAAAGTTTGCGAAACCCAGGAACCGTTCGTTGAAGCTCCTTTGTGGTGGGGGGCTGAGGCCAGTTCCTGATGGTATCCACCTTCCTCAGGTCCATTTGGACTCCCAGAGAACTGATTATATAACCTAGGAAGTGGACGGCGGGATGAAGGTGTTCGGTTAGATTCTTGGAGAAGATGAGGATGTCGTCAATGTACACTATTACAAACCGCTGTAAGAACTCTCAGAATACTTCATTCATGAAGGATTGGAAGACGGATGGAGAGTTGGACAACCCATAAGGCATAACGAGGTATTCGTAGTGTCCCGAAGGAGTGATGAACGCTGTTTTCCATTTGTCGCCTCTTCTAATGCGTACGAGGTTGTAGGCACTTTTGAGATCCAGTTTGCTGAAGATTTGGGAAGGGGGTAGCGGAACTTGACTGTTCGCTCGTTGAGCGCACTATAGTCAATACACGGCCGTAAGCAACCATCCTTCTTCCCCACGAAAAAGAAACTAGATGCAGCAGGACAGGTGGATGGCCGAATGAAGCGTTGTTTCAATAAATGAAGGGACGTGAGGGTTTTTAAGTGCTGGAAGTGATGAGCGGGTGCAAGTGTGGTGAATTAGTATTCAGGAGATAATGAGCGAATGAATGGATTTGGGTTATTAGAGCCCGATGGTGTGGCAGGTGTTACAGAGGACTCTGTGACAAGCAGGTGGGTTTGGCAAAATTACTGCATCTATCCTTGCTTGTAAAGCAGTGGGGATGTGGACTACAGGATCTCTGTGCAAGCTTTGCCGAGAAACCCATAATAAAAACTGGTGACCTAATACAGGAACCACTAAATATTTATTCTGATTAGCTTCAACAGGATATGACCAGGATTTGTGTTGAGTCAGGTTTTAGATGAGGAAGTTATACAAAATGTGTGGTGGTTGGGTAATGCATCGGGGGATGGGTGTGACCGGGACCTCATGTTCTCTTACATGTGTTGTTAAGCATCAATAAAATAAATAAGCTCTACATTTTAAAACGGGTATTAATCCATTGGAATTTTGCTAGAATTTAGAAAAATAGCTTTTTTGGGGGGCATGCTTTTCAAACAGCTAATTTAATTCACAGTCATGGACAATTAACTCAACCACTTTTGAATTTATATATTTTTTTAAATTGCTATGGTTGTAATTTTAGTATGAATGCTACAAAGTTTGTAATAAAATACTCATTCATTAAAGCTGCAGGCCGTAGTTTTTCCCTCTTTGTCGCCATCTATGTTTGAAATTTGCAATTGAAACTATATACGGAATTATCAACTTTACGTGGGTTTTGCCTTGGTATGGCACAGAGCGGATTAATTAATGTTTCTGAGGAGAATATGTGGCATGAAAAGAGAGAGATGTCGGTCTTTTTCCTTTCACCTAATTATAGAGTATGATGTGTTAATGTGACTATGCCCACTGAGAGCGTGCGCTATTTAAACGCTAATGTTGAGGCAGGCCATGAAAACGCCCACATCAGAACGCCCTAACTTAACTCAGTTACCTTAAGTTTCATTTCGAGGAGCACGGATCCAGCTGATGTAGTAAGTCGTTTATTCTTACGTGCTTTGTTCTAATTGCATTATTGAATAGTATCTGTAAACTGCACAAAGACTGTTTAAATACAGCGCTTGACAAAACATCGTCCCTCAGGGCATTTAGCTTAACAATGAGCAGATTTGGAGAAATACTGATATAGATTCGCATAGGCTTACATCATATTTCTATAGACAAAATAATATTTATTGAATTTATACCCAAATGCATTGATGTAATCTTTATGAGCGCTGGATACTCTGATGTGCTGTGTTTTCAATCCATACGGTCAGCCTGAGGGCGCTGTCTGCCCAGAATATTCCATATATGCTACACACGAAGAAGAACCATAATCATGTGACATTCCAGGAACTGCCTGACAGAAGCAAAGCTAACAGAGATCGCTGTAACACGCCGATAAAGATGTTTTGAAGACAATAAACATGATCTTCGTGTTCTTTGAGCCCTGTCAGGTATTTTCATAATAATAGCTATATTCATAATGTAATGCTAATCGATATAGACTTTATCATTGTGCAAAATACTATAAAATATATTTCTATCATTGTGCAAAATACTATAAAATATAGGTCTTCTTTTTTTTACCTGAAGCCATTAAATCACTCGACTAGCGTTATAAGGCAAGTTTGGAGCACAAACATGGTTACTGACATGTTTCTTTTTTCAAAAAGGGCAGTTGATATGGTTTCAAATGTGAATTGAGAACTTTGATAATGGAAATGGAAATAAAATCCAATTCACAGTTTTATGTAAATGATTAGGCCAGATGTTTTTCAGATCATTTTGAAGAAAAAAAAAACTCTAGGCAACAACATCCATTAGTCAAAAGTAATGTGGATGCATATTTTGTGTGTTTTGTGGCCTTATTTCAGAAACTTTCATTTTTATTTTTTTCAATAACCACGCATAAACAATATTCTCTCAAAATACAAACATGTACATACATGTTGCTCATATATTAGTAGCCCATGGTAGCCCTGTTTGTGCTAAATAGAGTGTAATTTCACCAGTGGCATTTATATGTTTATAAGCACCTGAAAAAAGCACAAATGTCACAGCATGTCAAAACATCTCAAGGACCCCAAAAACAGGACCCCAGAGGGTTAAGAATTGTCACAGGAAAATGTTGTCTGAACAAGTAATGATGACACTTTTGTTCTGAACAACTAAGGGGAAAAAAGCATTGCAGTAAATCCTGCTGATTAAATCTTAACAATAGCCTATCATCACACGTCAAACTGTGCACATTCTACTTTGTCCTCAAATTGTTAAAGGGCACCTATTATGGAAAATTCACTTTTACATGGTGTTTGAACATAAATGTGTGTTGGCCGTGTGTGAGCAAAACCACCCTAGAATGATAAAAATCCACCCAGTGTTTTTTTACAATCTCAATAAATCATGTGCACTGTCTCAGAACGAGCTGTTCTGAGATTCAGCTCTTTGTGACGTAGAAAGTGAGCAAGGGGTTTGATTGACAGTGTGGTTGTGGCTATGTCTATGGAGAGTTGCTAGACCACACTTTGCTGCAAAATAATTTTTGCTGCCGCTAGGGTGCGTCTAGATTTCTAGGCTAGGATAATACATCAATATGTAAATTGTTGTTCATCACGATTTCAAAATAAAAGTTTAAACCCTCGCTCTGAGCTTGCATATTTTGATGTCTACATGTTATTCTTTAAGTAATTACAGTGGCTGTAACATTTCTATCATAAAGATTTGGACAAATATTAAATAGACATTTGAATAAATCTTGATAGGCCAATTAATCGAGGATTTGATCATGCTGTAAAGTGTAACAACTATTACCAGGCCATTGGCACCCTCTGCAGGCATTTGTTATTAAAAGTAATGTAAATAACTTATGTTATGTATTTTAAAAGTGTTGTTAAATAAAACCATATGATTACTTGCTTTTGATACTTTATTTTAACAAATTATTATTGCCTGCTTGTTATTACATATGTAATTTAAGTCATCTTAAAGGCTTCGGTATATTTTTATTACCACAAAAAAAATCTGATTACTCGATTTATCATAAAAAATTATTAACCAATTACCAAAATAGTCATTAGTGACAGCCATAGTTGTATCATATAAATACTTGTTCTAATAGGATAACAACTAAACGTTGACAATAATTAAAGCCAAATGACTGACACCAAGGTAAAGCTCACCAAAGACATATCCACAGAGGAAGTATATCCAGATGCAAGGAGTACCCTTTGGGTTAAGAGGCAAAAGAGTGGATGAACATCAAGCAAAAGGAGGGATTTTTTTTCCATCTAGCTACAGTGCAGTGGTAGATTAAAGAGATTGGGAATGTCCATGGAGAGGGTGGCAAATAATGCAGAGCATGAGGCGGAGGGTTGGCCTGGGTACCTGGTGAGTTGTTTGAAACAGAACACACAGAAGCGATGTCCACACTGTGCTTGGAAAGGTTTCCTAAGGATCTCTTTGCATTGCTGGCATTGATATTTTGGTTCCATGGACACCGACAACACTTCTCGAGATATCCCAGGCAATGTGGAGTCCAATGAGGATGGTAAAGATGGACGTGCCATTGCCTTCCATTTACTCACAGTGCCAGCAATGCTTATCATCTGTAAAAATGTAGAGCAAAACTTATCAGAAAAACAGAACAAAATTGTTTAAAGTCAACATTAAATGTGCTCTAAGCGATGTCACACATTTTTTTTAGGCCAAAACATTTGTCAAATACAGCAAACTGTAAAAATTTCCTCACTATCCGCTAGCTGCCTCCACAAATGGCAACAAAAACAAACTGCGGCAACCCGCTCCACGAAACATAACAAACTGTTCCAGCCAATAACTGACAAGAAGGCCCTGGGGGTGGGGTTTGGGGGGGTCAGTGCGCAGATGAGGAGGAGGAGGGAGGGTCCATCTAGCCTCTGATTTGTTAGAAAATAAACGTCAACAAGAAGTCACGTCACCCGACATCGATTAGAGCACCTTTAAATTACATTTAAATACACATTTTACTTCCATTATATGACATATGTGAAGACCAAAAAGTGAATTTACAGCTGACTGAGGAGGTATGCATGCACCATCGAGAGTTTTAGCTCCTGATGGCTTTCTTCTAGATGGAAGAAAGTCAATAAAAATCATTTGGCCCGGATCTCACGCTTGCCGAGGCAGCGCATAGTGTAAGGGTCTACAATAAAGATTCTGTGACTCTATATCAGGTCTTGTGTGTGCCGAGACGGCGAGTAGATTACGGGGCTGCATAAAGCCCAATTTATACTTCTGAGTCCAACTCACGCCGTAGCTACGTCATAAGCTGTGTGTAGCTCGCGTAACCTTCGGCGTACCCTGATGTGCACCTCTCCAAAAATGTAACAACGCATCAATTCTACGTGGACGTAAGCGCTGTGATGATCTGCTAGAACCCATCCCTCGGGTTTCATATGCTCCCTCTGCATGTGTAATTGCGCAGCAACACGGACAACGACGCATAAGTATAAATGAAAACCAATGCATAGTTTATAGCGTAGAGGCTCCGGCGTAGGTCAGACGCAAAAGTATAAATCAGCCTTAAGAGTCTAGAGGCTCAGATTTCGCATTTGCTGAGGAAGTGCATAGATTACGGGTTTGCATTAAGAATCTAGTGGCTCCGATCTCGCGTTTGCCGAGGTAGTGCGTAGATTATGGGTCTGCATCTCTGCAATAAGAATCAAGTGAATCGGATCTTGCGTTTGCCAAGGCAACTTGTAGATTATGGGGTGCAATATAAGCGCAGTGAACTGAGCACACAGGAATTTCCCTTTCCATCTTTCTCTTATGATTGCGTGCAAACTAATTGTGTGTGTTTGCAGACAATTATTTATGGTTCTTTTTGTGTTGATTATAATATTTAATTTTGAAAAATTAAATGAAATGTTTGTCTGACTTTAAAAGTAGATGTATTAAAATAATAAATTCAACCTTTCATCCAGACCAAGTTTTCTACAGTATCTGATTGATATCTGGCTACATTAAATTTTAATGAAAATTAAATGTTAATAATACTCATATGAGTTGAGATCTGTATTAGTACACTATATTCAGCCTTTCACCTCGACCGTGTTTACTTGATCTTTGGCTGCATTTAATTCTGAGGAAATAGTGAAATTTAAGGGAAATTAATAACACCTCATATATCTCCCTTTGGTGCACTCAAGGGCCGTTCTGCCAACCCCACCACCTCATGTGCTTCAGGGCGCATCGGTCACCAGTGAGTTCTAGTCTTAGTGTCTGACCCGCAGGAGGAGGCTTTTAAGAGGGGTCAGATCGATTGTTTCCTGCCGGTCATTCGTTTCAGGACACTGGACTGGCTCTCGAGCTATGCTAAAGACCAGTCTTGAAAGGCTGGTTCCTTTCCTAGTCTCAACTGATGACGTCTATTGATACGACAGATCTGAGGACAGTGATTATCTCAAAAAAATTCTCTGAGGGCAGTCCTCTTTGGGGGGGGGGAAGTGGTTAACACCTCACTAAAGTCCCTATTTCCCCATCGATGCCTTCAGGGGGCCGTTCTGCCAACCCTGCTGCCACCTCGTGTGCTTGGTTGGGGGCGAAACTGTCTCCAACAAGCCCAGATTTCCATTTTTGCCTGGAAATGTAGTGGCACTGGGATGCTCACCCAATCTGAGGAGGGTCTCAGAGCAATCAGTTTGGCTGTTCCCTACCTGTTCGCCGCTTCGTGGCACTGAATTGGTAGCTCGAGTAACACCTAGTCTTGAGAGACTGGTTCTCTTAGTAGATTTTTTGGCACCGTGGGAACTTCTATCAAACATATCTCAACAGAAGCACAGCGTTTACTCCTGAGCCCCCACCAAAAGATGGGGGTCGGGCTGACGCTCTCAACTGCAGCCTTCAAGAAGGAAGATGGATCTGAGGACCGTCATTATTTCCAAGAAGGCTGCGGGGAAAAGGTAAAAAAAAAAAAAAAAAAAAAAAATTAATAACCTAGAATACTGTCTAACACTTGATGGCTGCTCTGTAAAGTCTCCGTTGTTGGTTGAAGGTGTGCTCTTTGATACCAATCTTTCATTTGAAAGTCAGGTTTCTAGTATCTGTAGAACCGCATTCTTCCATCTTAAAAATAGATCTAAATTATAACAAATGGATCAGTTAGTTAAAGGAGTAGTTCACTTTTCAAAAAACATTTGCTGATAATTTTCTAACCCCGATGTCATCCAAGATGTCCATGTCTTTCTTTCTTCAGTCGAAAAGAAATTAAGGTTTTTGATGAAAACATTCCAGCATTTCTCCATATAATGCATTTCAGTGGGAACCAAACGGTTCAAGGTCCAAAAGACACTTTCAGTACAAACTGCAAACTGTTCAAAGGGCTTTAAACAATTCCAGACGATGAATAAGGGTCTTATCAAGCGAAACGATCGCTCATTAAAAAAAAAATAAAGTTTAAGTTTTATAAGCTCAAATGCTCGCATTGCTCTGTACTGCGATGCACGTTCGTGACTCTCCTGTTCGAACTCGTTCATCAAAATGAACTAATCTTTTTCTGAGTCAATTCGTTCGTTGAATGAACCAAATGACTCGGAAAAAGATTTGTTCATTTGATGAACGAGTTTCTTACAGGAGAGTCACAAACATGTGTCACAGAACAGAGCAAGGCGACCATTTGAACTTATAAAACTTAAACTTTGTTATATATTTATTAAATGAGCGATAGTTTCGCTCATTTGAACCGTTTGGTTTCGTAACCGTTTGGTTCCCACTGAAGTGCATTATATGGAGAAAAATCCTGGAATGTTTTCATCAAAAACCTTAATTTCTTTTCGACTGAAGAAAGAATGACATGGACATCTTGGATGACATGGGGGTGAGTAAATTATCAACAAAAGTTTTCAAAAGTGAACTACTCCTTTAATGTGTTCATGACTTCAAGGCTAGATTATTGGAATGCTCTACTGGGTGTTTGCGCTGCACGCTTAAAGGTTCTCTAAGCGATGTGGGGCCAAAACATTTTTTGTCACATACATCAAACGTCTCCTCACTATCGGCTAGCTGCCTGACCCCTAAACACACTGTAAAAAAACGCGGTCTCTGTAGACACCACAGGCTCCACAAACGGCATCAAAAACAATCATGTCTCACGCGGACCACGAAACCTAAAAACAGTGTTCCAGCCAATCACTGGCAAGAAGTATTTGAGGGTGGGTCTGGGGGGTTAGTGCGTGTGCACATGAAGGGGGTGTGTGCGTGAAGGAGAGCGAAGCATCAGAGGGAAGTTTGAAAAATGGTCGACACGACCAAAGAGACGTCGTTCTAAAGAACAAATTAAAAAGAAGAAGGAGTCGGATAAAGAACGTGCGAAGTTCCGAATTTACATCGGTAGCAATGCTTTTCAATGATGGCGAGAACTCCGGCGGCAGAAGGGCTTCCAGTCCGACATTCAGGTTGCTCTGTTTTTGCTGGACAGGTGGGTAACGTTAAATTGTTTTTTTGTTTTTTTCTAAATTGACGCTTATGTTCACCAAACCCACACAAGGATATAATTAGCTAGAACTATGCACGTTCACAATTATTTCAGGAAGCACGGAAGGGAGGGGGAGATGAGATGCGGAGGAGGGAGGGTCTAGCTAGCCTCCGATTTGTTTGAAAATATTCCGAACGTCAACACCCAGGATCGCTTAGAGAACCTTTACAAACAAACTACAGCTGGTCCAAAACACAGCAGCTAGAGTTCTTACTAGAACCAGGAGTTATGACCATATTAGCCCAGTTCTGTCAACACTGCATTGGCTCCCTATCAAACATCATATATATTTTTAAATATTGCTGATTACTTACAAAGCACTAAATAGTTTACCTCCGCAGTACTTAAGCGAGCTCTTAGCGCAGTATAGTCCTTCACATCTATTGTGATCTCAAAATTCTGACCAGTTGATAATGCCTAGAATATCAAAATGCTGGCGGTAGATCCTTTTCCAATTTAGCACTTAAACTTTGGAACAATCTTCCTAACATTGCCCGGGAAGCAGACACACTGTCAGTTTAAATCCTGAATAAAAACACATCTCTTTAACCAAGTGTACACAACACATTAACTTAACTTCTATAATTCAAGTTCAAGTTCATTTATTTATATAGCACATTTAAACAGCTGCTTAGACAGACCAAAGTGCTTTACAGAACACAGAAATAAGAGCAAAAATAAGCATATCACACATAAAAGGCAACAAAGCTACAAGTAGCCTTGTCAGAGACCCAATTATAACATAATAAAATAGTTAAAAGGAGATCAGTATGCTAAAGAGAAAAGGTAGGTTTTCACCAAAGACTTAAAAAGACAGGTTGGGGGCTGTTCGAATCTCTAGGGGCAGGGTGTTCCACAGACGGGGCCCTGCCACTGCAAAAGCAAGCTCCCCTCTGCGCTTAAGTCTGACACGAGGGACTACCAGCAGAGTCTGGTCGTGAGATCTTAGGCTTCTGGACGGAGTATAGGGATGAATAAGTTCGGAGAGATAGACCGGGGCTAGGTTATGTAGCGATTTGAAGACAAATAGTAGGATTTTAAAATCTATTCTCTGCCGGACAGGTAGCCAGTGTAAAGATTTAAGAATTGGAGTGATGTGGTCATATTTGCGACAGTTGGAAATAAGTCTAGCCGCAGCGTTTTGGACCAACTGAAGACGGGCAATTTGAGAAGCTGATATCCCACAATAGAGTGAATTGCAATAGTCAAGCCTACACGTGATGAAAGCATGAACCGCCATTTCCAGGGTTGTCGGAGTAAGAAAGCCTTTGATTTTAGATAATAGACGAAGTTGGTAGAAACCGGAGCTGATGACACCTGATATGCATTTGTCAAGTTTTAAAGACTGGTCAATAAGAACACCTAAATTCCGCACTCCTGTCGACTTAAAGGGGGATAAGCTCCCCAAGTCTGGGCTTAAACACTGAGACCTTTTACTCGGGCTGAAAACAATGCTGGCCTCGGTCTTATCACTATTTAGAGAGAGGAAGTTTTGGGCCAGCCAAGCCTTCACTTCCTCCAAGCATAGCAGAAGAGAGTTTAATGCTGCAGGGTCATTTTTCTTGAATGGAATGTAAATTTGGGTGTCGTCCGCATACAAATGAAATGATACACTGTGTTTCCTTAAGATAGTGCCCAACGGTAGCATGTAAAGAGAAAATCGAGAGGGAGCCAGAACGGAGCCCTGTGGAAGACCACAGGTTAGAGGGGCTGTGGAGCTGGAGAAATTACCCATCTTAACTAAAAACTTTCTGTCAGAAAGGTACGACCGAAACCATGATAAGACAGAAGCTTTTAGTCCCACCTCAGTCTCAAGTCTAGCCAACAGGGTAGGATGGTCAACAGTGTCAAAAGCTGCCGAAAGGTCTAAGAGAATCAGAACCACAGAATCACCAGAATCAGTGGGGATTAAAATGCCGTTTAACACTCGCAGAAGGGCAGACTCAGTGCTGTGGGCAGCCCTGAACCCAGATTGAAATGCATCATAAATACAGTTCTTTAAAAGAAAGTGCTGGAGTTGATTAAACACTATTTTCTCCAATAACTTGGAAATAAAAGGCAAGACAGAGATGGGTCGGTAATTTTGTAAGACAGATGGATCCAGTGAAGGCTTCTTGAGCAAGGGAGTGACCGTAGCCACTTTGAGATTAATTGGAACTGAGCCCGTATTGAGAAACTTGTTAATAAAAAATACCAAACCTGGACCCACAGAGTCGATGATTAACTTTAAAAATTTCGGCTGAAGGATGTCATTTGGACAAAATGAGGTTTTGAGCTTGGCGCTCACATCCTTTAGTGTCTGGAGGTTGATAGGATCAAAAACCTCCCAAACACATTTAGTAGATGACACAAATGGGGTCAGAGTTATGTTCGGGCAGACACCAAGTCTTAATTTAGTGATTTTGTTAACAAAAAAATCTCTGGAAATCTTCACATAGAGCATCCGAGGCGACAGACAATTTAGAAGAAGGATTTATAACAGACTGACTGACTGAAAACAAGACCTTTGGGTTGGAGTGGTTAGATTCAATTAAGTTAGAGAAATATGCAGCCTTAGCTGACTTAGCAGCCTTCTGGTAAGCTGTAAGAGCGTCTTTGAACAAATGGAAAGAGGCAATTTGCCTGTCTCATTTCCATTTGCGTTCGGCCGCTCTACACATTTGTCTTTGGTGACGAGTGTCAGAGTTTTGCCACAGATCAGATTTTGGTTTGGGTTTGTGGGGCTGGGGCTTGAGAGGAGCAGTCACGTTTGCTACCTTAAGCCAGGCAGAGTTTAAAAGGCTGAAATGCTGTTCCGCATCCAGGTCAGATAGTGGTTTGTCCAGGTCCAAATGTGAGCATTGCTCAGCAAAACACAGGTCAAAGTTAGTGCTGAACTGTGGGGAGTAGACCCGCAACATAACAGGAGCAACAGTGGGTTGAGAGAGCTCCGGAAGAGACAGTGAGAAAAGAATAGGATTGTGATCAGAGAGCAGAAAATCTGAGAGTATAATATCAGTGACATCAATCCCGTGAGATAGCACAAGGTCCAATGTATGGACCTGAATGTGCGTGGAGTTTTTGACCCACTGCAGTAGATTAAAAGCATCAATTAAGTCAAGAAACTCCTGCGACAAGGAATTTGACTGACAACAGACATGAATGTTGAAATCTCCCACCAAAAGGAAGCGATCATAGTTTGTGGCAATATTGCCAGTGAATTCAGTAAATTGCTGAATAACTCAATGTTAGGCTGCATAAACTAGGTCAGCCAGAACCGGGAACACTTCCCATAACACCTGATGTACGCGTTACATCCCAAGAAGAATGGCATCTTCGTTAATATTAGTCTCTCAGTTTATCCCGAGGTTTACCGTTGTCCGCCGGATTGAGGCCGTATCCAGGTCGTATCCAGATATGATGAAGGACCTGCACCTGACACGACAACAACGCAGCCCTGAAGTGTCAACTAGTTTATATATATATATATATATATATATTTACTTTTTTTGTTGTTTTAACTGGACTACAACGTGCCCAGATATTGACTGAAAATGTTAGTAACTTGTTCTGTTACACTTTACAGTTAAGCTCCATTAGTTAACATTAGTTAAAATACACTGAAAACTACTAAATCATTTACTCATCTTAGTTCATTTCAACATTTAATAATAGGCTACATTATTATCAAAAGTTGTAACTGTTATTTAATGGACCTGAGCTGACATGAACTAGCAAAGAAAGATCAATTGTGTTTTTAATTAACATTAACAAAGAATAATAACTTCTGTAAGAAATATAGCCATTGCTATTTTTTTTTTTTTTTTGTATGTTAGCTAATGCATTAACTAACATTAAAGTCCCCGTGAAATCAAAATTGAACCTATTTACTTTGTTAGCGCATATTACTAGTCTTGTGGTGAACAATTAATCCGTGCAAGTAAATATAAAAAAAATGTTTTACCTTGGTAATCTTTAATCAAAATCTGAACAGTTACTTCCGGTCTGGAACGGTTTCTTTTTCTGATGAGGTAGGTTTCACAGCTTGGGTGGGGAAACGCTTAACCACTCCCCTCAAACCGTTAGTTTGCTATGAGCGAGAGATGGAGAGGAGGAGCGCTAGAGTAAAACCCTGCCCTCTGTTCAATATTCCGTTTCACTTGGAAATACGTCACAGCACTGAAGAAAAATCGTTTGCAACTTCCGGTTCACGGGGACTTTAACTAATGAGACTTTATTGTAAAGTGAAAATTATTGTTCTTTATTTTGCACTTTAATCTGTTTGAAACATTTGTTTGGTTTATAAATGTTTTGTGTGTTGTGATGATAATACCGTGATAAAAGCTTTAGCAATTATTGGATTATTTGATGCAAGTACAGACACCTAATTTAAAATGTGATCTAGTTAAAATATATGTGTGCTAATTACGGTATGTCAAGTTGTATTGTGAGTACAGCTAGCTAGATGAATTGTCAGATAGCAAACTGGCATTGAATCAACGTGGAAATATGACATCGAAACAACGTTGATCTTACATTGTTTTGCTCATCGAATTAACGTTGAACCAACGTCAGATGCGTCATTCTTTCAAAACTAACGGAAAATCAACTTGAAATCAACGCGTTGTTTCAACGTTATGAAAGCAAACCAATTTTCGATTTTCATTTAGCTTTGAAGAATGCCGCGTCTGACGTTGGTTCAACGTTAATTCGATGAGCAAATCAACGTTGTTTCAATGTCATGAGAGACGTCGTTTCCACGTTGATTCAATGTCAGTTTGCTGTCTGGAATTGTCAGAGTTGTGAATTACAAATATTTAGGTTAACACTTTTTTAAAATTAATTTTAATATACTAAAACTTAAGCTGGTTGGCATTTATTTAACATGGCATTTTTGGACAATTTAATTTTGACAATTTTTTCAACACCCTATATAATAAAGTGCATGATTTGGACATGGCTATTTTTTCTTTTACCAAAACAATTCTCTTTTAGTTATTAAAACTTAAAACCTTCCATTTTAAATATTTAGCCATTATTATCTAAAGCTGTAGGAAGTATGTTCAGCTCTGTGTAACAGCTTCATATCAACCATAGGATATCAACTGACAGCATTTTAAACCCGCCAGCCTGTCTCAGTTTAAAATCATCAACTCACAAAGAAAAATATCGTGTCTATCCAAAAGTCATCTCTAGTCTGGGCCTCAATTGTAGCCTGCGAGTATTCACCTTGGTGTACTGTAAACAAAATATTTTTTTCCCGAGTTACAACCACTAAAACATCCAAAATATATTAATAAAACAAAATATTAAACTAGATGTCCATCAAGTGCCTGAAAAGACATATAAACCAATTTAATAATAATAACTAACGATAGCAGTTAAAAGCAATGTATCTAGTAGCTTCCTTACTCTCGAAGTGAGAGGGTAAAATGGCAACTCGCTCGAGCTTCCACACACTGCGCGCACACTGTCCAACTACAGACAACATGTCAAGATTTCGGCACACACAATGTAAATATAGAGAAAATATGTTAAAGTTACTCACCAGATACTAGCAATCCTGTGGGGTAAGAAAACTAACCGTCAGTGTTCTTGGATCGTGTCATAGGTGTGGCCTATAATATACACGCACACACAGCGCTAAGCCTATAAAATAGAAGGAAGCACAGCTCGTTCCTCGCAGTGAGCAGCCCCTTTCACCACCACAACATGTGTGGGCTACCGGGGTATTTACCTAGAATATTTAAAACCTCTCGAGGATATTATTGTCGACGGTCATTTGGAGGTATTTTTAATACGTTCAACTACTTCCATAGTTAAAAGTAATCTGCAAAATTGCACGGTGTAGAAGTATGTTGTTTTGCAAAAATGTCTGACCTTGCATGTAACGTTAGCTCACTGGCTAACCAGTAGCTGCTAACGTACTGTGAAACGTTAGACCAACAATATGCTGGTCTGTCAACGTAGGTTATTTTATTTTTATTTTTTTATAAAATGTATTAGTTGAAATGCAGTGTTTTGGCTTGCAATGTCAACAAGCGACAGATTTAAACTAACGTTGTATCGTACCAGCTGACCACCAGCACCAAATGTATTTCGTCTAACAATCCACGTACGACAGTGTATAGATCATAGCGTTTAGCAAATAAAGTGTTGTGCAGTATTTGCTAGTATGGTGTTTAAAAAGACTCGAAGCTCTTTAAATGACTAAAAAGCAAAAGAAAATTCCCAATTCACCTATCAAAGTATTGTCATACGTTACCTCTTAGCACCAACCTGTGAATCGTCAAAACAACTTATAAACAAATAACGTAATATTTATACAGAACATTTAATTCGTCACACCTAAATTGACTCCCCTAATTTCCGTATTTATACAGAAAATTAAATTGGACACACCTAAACTGACTCCCTTATAATTCACATATTTATACAGAAAATTTTATTCGACACGCCTAAACTGACCCACCTCTGTGTTTTGGTTTTCTTTAATTTTTACAGAAGATTATTTAGTAATATATGTCAACCATGTCAAGTCACCTTTATTAATATAGGCCTGGTGGTTTATACAATAAAGATAATTTCAATGCGGCTTTACAGTGATAAACAAGGAAAAATGATAAGTGGTGCAAACAAAATTCAACTCTGCTGTAAAGCAGCTCTTAAATAAAAAAAGACTATAGTGTTCTTGTTAATCTGAACTCAGGTCGGTGTTTCAGTTTGGTTCAAAAACTTCATCTATTATAGTTCAATTCAGCTATAGAGCAACTCTGCAGAAAACAGTGATGTCATTGTCCAGCAGTTGTCTTAAGTGTCATAAGTTGTCTACTGTCATATCAACAATATTACTGAATAATAAGTGTCCCCAAACTAAGCAAGTTACCAACCAACAGCTCATCTTATTTTGAATATGGGGGCAATATGATTATTTTATTTTAACTAAAAATAAAATAAAATGTTGTTGGACCATTACGATGTTTTCTATAGTGACATTATTTTCCTGACAAGCAAGCATATTGTATATACATAGGCTCAGTTTTTTTTTTTTAAGTTTTCATACACCAATACAACCACTTCCAGAAAGGTTGGGACAAGAATCTGATTAGTACATTCTCTTGAACCTTTATTTAGGGGTGTAACAATATATCGTGCCACAATATATCGCAATACAAAAATGCAACAATACATATCGTGGCAATATCTATCGTGGATAGTTCCCCCAAACTAAAAATTACTGTGTGAGAAAAAATTCAAGTTTTCTGAGTTTTAGTGTAAGTACTACATTAAACTACTGTATATAATGTTGAATATAATGTATAATAATGCAATGGGGGAATATTGTGGGTCCTGATAATGCCAAATGTCTGATGTTACCAGTAAAAAGAGGCCAACATTATTTTAAACATATCTAGTCAGTGAAAGAGTGCAAGCATATTCATCTAAAATAATTCTGTATTTTCAGCTTCAGAATCATGAATATTTTTATTGTGGTGTAGCACCAAGGCCAAGCCTATTTGTTTAAACCTACAAATTAATATCAAATTTAGCACTTTAATCAACAGTACGTTTTTTTGTTAACTGTTTACCATATGGAAATGGTAAAGTATCGCAATAATATCATATCGTGAGTTCAGTATCGTGATATGTATCGAATCATGAGCGTATCGTTACACCCCTATTTAACTAACTGAAAGTAGAAGAAAAAATTCATGGGCCAAATTTATTTTATTTTAAATAAAATAAATTAAGTAAATTAAGTATTTTGTAAATATAATCATGTTTTGATGGCTTCAACACACTCATAAGTTGGGATAGGCTAAATAAAAGTGGAAAAGATTACAGAAGTTACCAAGTTGAACTTTTGAAACCACCTACAATTAGCTGGTGAATTGGTAATAGGTGGGTTTATAGAGGATCATCCACCAAAGACAGTCTTTGCAAGCTAAGATGAGTCATGACTCGTGGCTTACCACTTTGTGCCAAATTTCATGTGAGAATTGTCAAACAATTTCATGAAATCGTCATGCTACTTACAAAAATAGCCACGTGCATGGGCTTAGGAGTGTAATAGTTCAGGAAAACCGTTGTCGCTCAACAGTCTGCTGCTGCATCAAGAAATGCATCTCAAAACTGTTACCCAAGGAGAAAGCTATACCCACATCTGTTCTGTGCAGAGATAGTGGGGGATACACATTGAGTTTTCAGTCCTAAAGACGAAAGCCACCATCGAGACTTTCATCCGTATTTTATCTGTTATGGTATTGGGCTGCATCAGTGCAAATGGAATGGGTGACTTGCATGTGTGTGAAAGTACCATTGATGATTTGAGTCTACATTTTATAGTGAATTAAGTTTAAGCTTCATGACAATGACAACAGAGTAAGGTTGACATGATAGTTCATCACAGGACTATGAATTTAGAGTTGTTGAGTCTGTTTACTGTGATCACTCTCAGGATTTGTTCAACTTCAGAGCAGATCTCTCTCTCTCTCTTCTGTACTCAGTACTCACTGGACAGCAGTACTCAAGCTCAGGCTCACAGCAGTACGATGGAAGGTTGTATCCTAGCCACATCCCAACCAACTCGGTCCAGAAGGCTATTTTGGCTGTAGGTTCAGGAGTGGCTTCCCTAAAAAACCCCTACAGACATGGTGAGGCTATACATGATACTGGATGAGGTTGTTAAACTATACTGTAGTAATGATTGCACATGGGATTTTTAATTACAGTTACAGTTGTTAGTTTCCTTTTCAGTATTAGTGGGTGGAAAGTCCACAATTGTTTTAGTGAAAGCAATACTTAATAACAACTCCAACTTTTTACTGTAAAATTCATTTCTTGTAAAATTGATAAATTCTGGTCTTCAACCAGAAATGCTACAGCAGATGACACACCGCTAGACCCAGATGGAATCTGCAGACCTTTTTGGGGGGAAACCTGCAGAATCCATTCTGTGGAATTGATTTAAATATGGAAGAATGGGGAGACGTTTTATTGGTTCATATACTGAACTCAAAGTGACTATACAAATTTTGTTGAACAAACACAAGAGATGGGAAATGTTGTGCGTGATAAATAATCCAATTCTCTGGAAATTTGCAGAGCTTTCCATGGATTGTTGGCAGTAAGCATGTTGCAAACTTTGTGCTGTCAAACATGTTTTTCTTGTTTTTAAGAAAAGATTAGGTGACAAATGTAACCAAACATCACTCCGCAACAGCCTTTAATAGGTTTAAATGGGTTTTTTTTTTGGTATTTCCTAAATCATGTGAGCTGGAATTCTTACAGTAATTCCATGATTCAAAACTTGGAAGTATATTAACATTTTACCAAAACAGATATGGTTGCAGTGCTCGGGGAAACCACAGGGCACCTGGCCCTGATCAAGTTAAGGGATCGGATGAGAAATGACTCTGAAGGTTCCACTATTCTCGTGTATGTCTCATTTGTTTACACTGACTACTGTTATCATCATCCATAATGGACATCAAATCTCCTTAATAATCCATACTGCTTTAATATTACCTTTATCTTCCAATTTTGTCTGTAGAGAGCGTCCAAGGATCCGCCTGTCTACATTAGACCTCACTCAGATGTCTGCTTTGCCAGATGGTACTTTAGGAAGAGAGTATCTCCGTTTTCTAGAAGAAAATGTAAGACAAATGAAAAATGCACAAATTGTCTATGCGAACAGGCCAAATTAACCATTGTCATCTCACCTTTTTTCAGAGAGTCACCCCCGACTCGAGGGCTGATGTGAAGTTTGTTGACAATGAAGAGTTAGCTTATGTCATGCAACGATATCGTGAAGTTCACGACCTGTTGCATACTTTGCTTGGTATGCCCACCAATATGCTAGGTGAGAGTTTTGCAACGTAACATAAAACCATTTCCACTTTTTCAGGTGTTTAGAGATTAGATTTTTTTGTATACGTCCAGAACTATCCCTTAAGGCCAATTTATACTTCTGCGTAGGGTGCGCACAGACGCGTCCCATACCGCGTACCCTTCGCCGTCGCCTGACGCGCACCTCCTCAAAAATGTAACTACACGTCGCGACGACGCGGACCGCAAGATCGGTGATTGGTCGGCTTGGTAGCATCGCATTTCCTCCTACGCATTTCCGCACGTACCTTCTCACGCATTTCCACCACTGTCTATGATTTCCACACGTTTCATCTCCTCCGAAGTCTTCTCTCATTTCTGCCTTTCAGTTTTAGTAATTTCACTAAAGTGAACTGTTTTTCCACCTTAATAAGCTCCAATTCCAACATGATCAGCTCTCTTTCACTCGTAGTAACCTAGCCGCGAGGAATCTAAACACAGTGGAACATTAAAACTCTCCGCCGCCAACTAGCGTTTCGGAGCAGTACTGCAGAGCAACCAAGACCTGAACGCAGAAGTATAAATGCTCACAACGGCGTCGCCTACGTGCGTAGCCAACGCCGTACACTACGGCGTACCCTCGACGCAGAAGTATAAATTGGCCTTTAGAGGTTTTGGGTATGTTCAGGTTTTAGGCTTTTGGTTTTTAGTTCCCTAGGTTTAAGGTTATCATCAATACATTTCATACATTCTTTTTGTGATCTTTACCATCCATTAGCCACATTCCAAATTGACAACCCAGTACACAACACAATCTTTCATCATTTGAAAGATTTTCCTGCTATTCTTTACCCACAGGTGAGGTTGCTGTGAAATGGTTTGAAGCTGCACAGACTGGCCTGCCCATGTGTGTTCTGGGGGCAATGCTTGGACCCCTCCGACTGTCTGTCAGGTGAGTTCAATGTTCCCAGTTCATTACAAGTTTTCTAGCTCTGTAGACAGCAACTGAAAAATCCTGTCAATTACTTATATTATTAAAAGTAATAATTAACATATGTGCTTTAACAAAAATACAAGCTTCACATAACTTATCATAAGTGTACTATCAACATTATTTTCTGTGGTAACTGGCCGAATAGTATTGCTTGACTCATGAGAAAAAACCTCATTGGTTCTTGCGGAAGCTGAAATGTGCTGCCGTGACGTGCGAGAATTAACCCTGTTGGTTCTCGCATGTCAAGCAAGCATGCTTGAGCTTCCATTTACCAAATGTTAGTGCTCTGTGTGCATTTGCTGATCAATGTTTATGTGAATTAAAGCCTAAATTAAAACTTACAACCAACATTTGTCCTCACAGAGTATTTCTTCTTATTATGTTCATGTTATTTTATGGTTCAGTTCATTTTTCTGTTATAATATGGTTTAGTTCATGTTTCATTATGGTCATTATGGAAGATTTCATTATGATGACACCCTAGCACTGTCTTTCTAAGCTTCACTGGCTCTGATGTCACCACAAGCAAATTTTATATAGTATATCCTGCTGTTAATTTTCTGCTTCCTCCTAATGCAGCAAATTCTGTCTGTAACCCAATTTAGAAGATGAATGTTCTGAAGTAAAGAAAGAATATATTTCTGTATCTGAGCAATTAAATATGATGGTTATTTTAGTACATTCATTTGATTTTAATTAGATTTTTAAGGTATCATTGCCTTTGTCCCATGGAAACATTTTAATGTTTCCCTTGAAAATATATTTGGATGATTCTCGCAAAAGCATATCAAGAATTTTCAGCCATATAGACATTTCTATATATTTGCAACAATTTTCATGACTAATAAGCACATTTTCCTTGATATGGCCATTTACTGTAATGCAAGAACTGTTTACATTGTGATAGAATTTGTTGTTTTGTCTTTAACTTGTTTTATTCAAAAATCATAATGTTACAGCAATGAGTCAATTTTGATATGTGTTTGAGGCAGTCGTCTACAGTTGCTGGTTCAGTCTCTGGGACCTTGGGCTGTGCGCAGTGGCAGTCGTGCCAGATGTGTTCTGAGCGTCTTCTATGAACGGCGCTGGGACCAGAACCTCGATGAACTCAGACACCAGCTGAACATTGAGCCACCGCCTGTCAATCTGTTATCATCCAGCAAGAAGACATCTTCAAACTCTTAGTACGGGAACCTGTCTAAATGAAATAACTGATGGGAATTTTAGCTTGTGGGGGAGCCCACAAGGAAGCTACATACATCCTATCGGTAACAACGTTCTTCCTCACACAAGGGGAAATAAAGCCTAAAAATGAATGTCATGTAACTCTGAAAAAATACTATGACATGCATAGTGACTCAATAAGATCATTCAGGAAGAAAAGGTTCTTCTGATAAGGAAAGTTTAATAACTTTTTGTAAACATCTATTGGTCATATTAATATTAATATTCTATTAGAACTGACATCTGGATTGTTCATTGGTGATTTTACGTTGGAGTTTAACGAGTACAAGTGGCACCTTTCATTTCTACTCCGCACTGTGATGTTCAATACTGTAATTTAATCATTTGTATATTTTTATTTATTTTATTTCATTATTCTTTTAATTATAAATATCCTTCTTTTTAACTTGACATCCAAATAAGAAAATCACAAGCCTAATGAAAATGATTATAGCTGTTTGTTTTGCATATGTACTGCGACTTGAGTAAAGTTTGTTATCTGATCATGAAACAGAGAGTATTGTCCTCTGCTTCCCTCTAGTGGGCAAAGTGTTTTATTTCAAAGATGCCTGCTAGGCAGTGTTGGGTAAGTTACTTTAAAAAAGTAATTAATTACTAGCTTCTACTAATTACATCTTCAACAGAGTAATTAGACTACTCTCTCTAAAAAATATTGCTTTACTTTGTAACACTTTACAATAATGTTCATTAGTTACCTTACTTAACATGAACTAACATAAACAAACAATGAAAAGCTGTATGTTTATTAACTAACATGAATAAAGATTAACAAATACAGTCAGTAAAAATGTATTACTCTTACTCGACCATTTGAACAATACAAGAATAAACTACTCTTAATTTTTTCAAATAAACATTAGATTTATATATAATTGTTCTATAGTCTACTGTATACATATATTAATTTAGTCCAGTGCAGAGATAATTTTTAGGTTGAAATAATTAGGCTAGGTGATTATTTAACTCACAACAGTTAACTTTATAGCAGTTAAAAAAAGAAGTTGCTACTTAACCGGGCTTTTACCCCCACATAACTTGAGACAGGGAAGTTTGAGGATTTAATTCATTCATAACGTTACTTACAAAAATAAATAAGTTATCAATGAAATAAATTCAGCAAATAAATGTTGTACTAAAATGTAAATGTTTGACAATAAATATATAACAGCAATAGAATAGCTTTACAGTAATGTTGCTGTTGTCCAATAACTCCAGTTGGAATTTTCACCCCGATATGGCTGCCGCGCTACCGACGCGCCATCTAGTGGCTGTTACCAAAAAAGCATCAGAGTTTCGCCTCTTGTTCTTCTATACTCTTTGATATGAAGGAGATTGCAATTCTCGCGCATGCGTCGTGGAAATCTCTTGAACTCTCGTCTCAGGCCCAGAGTATTATAAATATAAGAATTGTACTTATATTTTAAAAATCACTTGCATGTTATGTTTGTCATTATTTTCTGTAATTATTACACATCCCCTACCCTTAAATATGCCCATACCAAACCTGTCCCTAACCCATTTCCCACATATACGTAGCAGCAAATGTGTTTTGTCATACAACATGAAGACAATAAGTACATACTTATCATTTGATGTAAGTACATACTAGACAATATAAATATAATATAAAGTGTGACTGAAGTTTTAGATAATAACTGAGAGCAGGTAACAACAGTGGAGGCAGAACACAGTTCTGTCTTATATAGGATCAAACCAGCAAGTTTCCAGATCTGGCCTTGACCTTAGCCTCTATGTATAAAAAATGCACTCAATATTTATTTGCCAGATCATTGTTAACAGCAACTTACAAAAGCTCTCTGTAACTAAATAGCTATTTAGTAGTAGTGTAAGCTGTCAATATTTAGAAGACGAGGCTGTCCAGCCAGGAGAGACTGCTGCAAGCTGGAATATGCTTGGTATTTTATTATCTAGTCATAACGTTATTGGAATATGGCAGAGACCTGCAGTATTTTTGCTGTCAATTTCAAGAATCTTTTCCTCCAATGATGGTACATTAAGCTTCATAAATAATTTTTTGGTTCTTGGGTCCTGTTTACAAAAAAAAGTGTTTTTTGATGTACAGAAAAGTATTTGAAAAAGAAAAAAAACACAAATTCCTTTTCATTTCAAACAATTCTGACTTTATTTAAATAATTTAAAGTTTATGGACGTAACTCATAAAACACCCCCATATAAAGTTACCACTTTCGAATAGAGAATTAGCTGAAGACTTAGATAACAGCTAATTATTGGTTTGTTTTTCCTTTTTATAGAAACATTCTGAAGAGATTGTAATCAGAGATCATCTTTTTAGGTTTTTAGGCTTTTTAGGACAAGTATAAGAAATATAAAAATTCTACTGTGTTGATTTGAAATCATCTTATTTAGTGGTCCGTTTAAAAATGATCTATTTATCAAAGTGTGTATTTACACGAAGTGCAAACAGACACTAGCTTGTTGGCAGAGGTTATTTACACTAACTACGGCCACCATATATATGATTGAGAAAGGTATGTGTTGAGTAAGATGTTTCATTGTACAAACACACTGTTTTCCCTTTTCCAAATGCATATCACTGCATATCCATTTGAATAATCATACACACTGCATGAATATGTCATTATTATTGCATACTGTTATAATAAACTACAATAGAGTGAATAGTGTATGCCATTATGTGCACCAACTATAAATAGCATAACAAATATTTACACTTATTGCACAGCAAATACTTATATTTTCACTTAATGTAGATAGCATATTGCTATTTACACTTACTGTAAATACTGCAGCATCTATATTGTTATTTATTTATTTCTATAGCATCTATATCTGTGTTTATTTTCATGTAGGAATACAAAACTATCTTCATCACTAAAGCCAATGTAAATACATGATTATGTTGTTTATAAATACTACTTTTATAAGCGGATCACTAAATGAGATATTGGTGAAAAAAAATCAAGATGTTTTAACCAGCATTTAAAAAGAAAAAAGTTTTATGGGCTAATTATTATGACTAATTATATGGTCATGCCCTTTTGGCCAAAAATATAAGAGATATTTGAGTGAGTGAGTGACAGAGAGAGGAAAGAACATTTTTGCAGAAATGCCTAAACATGGTAATAATTTGAAAAATATAAAAATAATTAAATTAATCTAAAATACTAAATGACCATCCTAGAATAGGATTTTAAAAACTATTTAAATAATAAATGAGATAATGAAAAAATGGTTTAACAATTTCAGTCCACATTTTATTGCATGAATATATAACATTATCAGATAAAAGGACAGAACAGAGTTTCCTGCAGCGACATCAGAGCCATGATCTCAAGTGGTCATGTGAAAACTCAAAATCAGCCATGTTGGGTACTGTTGACAAACAGATTTCACAAGAAATGTAGATAATAAATATTGCACTAATTTCAACACATAAACAAATACTTTGAAAGAGATTAAGAATTCATATGAAAATTAAGTTTCAATAACTTAACATGCATAAATATACAAATATATCAATTAGGCCTATATATGTTGTAGCTCTTTAAGACATGTTGGCATTATCAAGGAATTCATGATTAGCTTCTGATTAATTTGTTTCTTTAATCAAACAATGTGATTGACATTATCACACTCTCTCTTTTTACTGCATGTCTTCAGTGGCACGTAATGTAAAACTTTTTTTGAAATATTGGTTCAAATGACATTGCATAACGTATACTCGAGATCATATTAACATTCTTCCGGTGTTCAGTGCACTATAGAGATGCTCTGATCAGCCACAGCACAGGCAGCCAACAGTGGCTCGCTGAAAGCATGTCTGACAACATGCAGCACTGACACAGATTCAGGATCATAGAACAGCAGGGTCTGACTGGGCCAATCCAGCAGCAGTCCCACTCTCTTGAGCTTCTTAGCCACTGCGATACTCACACTGCACCCATCATGACAGAATGAAAAGTCTTCATCATAATGCGAGAGCACCCATGATTTTGAGTTGTAGCCCAGCCGTGCGCCATTGCCGGTCCCCTTGCGTTCTATGCTGGGATAGCATACACCCACTTTGAAGGCGGCGCTCGTGCCCACGTCAAGTACCCAGCTTTGAGTACCAGAAGACATGGGAGGGGAGCAGAGGGCATTAGGCCAGCTGTCGAAGCGCGCCGGGTCATAGGGGGGTAACTGACGCTGACGTTTGGGCAGGAAAGATAAGGTGTGCTGATCGTTGGAGAGGGAGAGAAGAGGACTGACCGTTTGATTTTCAAAGTGTAGCATAGTTGAACTGTGGGCTAAAGAAGAGAAGGATGTGTTAAGATGATGTTCAGGGCAAGAAAATGAGAAGTTGAATGTATGGGATGCAAATTTGTGATTTGAAGTACACTTCAAACGGTTTTGATTGCTAATATTTTTAATGTTTCTAAAAGAAGTCTCTTTTGCTCACCAACACTCAAAAAAAATATATGTTGGCTTTAATTAATTTTAATTTGTCAACAGGTTCCACATAACTAGATTTTGTTAAACAAACTTAATTTGTTCATGTAACTTCAACATAATCGAATTATGTAATTTTAAATTACCCAATTTAAGTAGTCTCAACGTGAATTTTTAACCCCTTAGCTGTCACCCCCCTTTTTGAGAATGGGGGTTAAAATGCACTATTCAAACTTAAATGGTTGCAATTTAAGAATGCTTTGGAATATATGCCCAAGTTTGGTCTTGTTTTAAAGAAAACACTCAGCAGAATATTGCTGAAGTGAAAACACTTCAAAAAATGAAAGTATGAAAAAGTTATGGAAGTTTAAATTTACAGTAAATTAAATATACTGTACTATATATTTTTTATTTTATATAAAATATATATTTTATAAAATACTTTTTACTCTAAAATTTCTATAAAATCAAAGCCATAAATCTTATCAAATTATGTTCCAAATTTGAAGTTGATATCACAAAAATTGAAGTTCCCATGAGATTTTGTTTAGGCGTAGTACCAAAAATAGCCACCGGGTGCCATTGAATTCCATTGAATTTAGTTGTGTACATTCTGCCTTAACAAATTAATACATTTCTGTCCAAATATCAATTCTGTCACAAAATTTGGAACCTTGAGACTCTGACCTTTCTGACAATATCAGTTTTGTCAAGATTACAAAAGGTTTTGATCATAAATTATGAAATATAATGATGCCCAAAAGGGGAGGAGCCTGATAAAATAAGTACCGTTTCTATGGTAACCCAACTTTCAATTATAAAACAGTTTTCAGACGATGAATTGTGAGTTTATAAGCTTTCAAATGATACCTAATTTATGATAACTACTAAAATATGTGATATAATAAAAAAGGCGATAAAAAATAATATTATATTTTAGAGGATAATAAATATAAATATTATCATTTTTAGAGGATAATATTGTACTATATTTTTTTTTATTGAAAAATACTAGATTATATGTTTATTATGAACTTTTAGCATAAAAACAGAAGTTTCACGATTAAAAGTGGGTTCATCGACTTTTCGTGACAAAGGTCAAAAGGTTTTTTGAGGTGCACTCTTGTCATAAATTCATCAATTACTCTTCCTACATAATTTTTAACACAAAACAGTCTTAGACCTTTCCAATGATATATAATTTGTCATAATTAGATTAAGATTTTTATAGAAATATAGTGAAGTAAAGTTAGGCGTCCCGGGACGGTGACAGTTAAGGGGTTAAAGGATACCTTTCATGATTCAAAGGCATTTTATTATATTCATTCATCCATTTATATTTCTTTTGATTCAGTGACATTTAATTAAATTGATAGACTTTAGCTAGCTATTTGCTAGCAGTAGCACATATTAGCATCTTGAATGCTAAGATTTACAACATGTTCCTTCATCCAAAGCAATAGAAAATAATGAAATCAGTCGACAGCCAAACAAAATGCTCCACTCTTCTCCACATGGTAACCCACTGTAATTTAAATGGTTTAATAATTCCAATGTAATTTAACATTAAACACTATTACACAGTACACACTATTAAGTCTTCCCCTTCTCAAAATTTCTCAAAAAATAAAATAAAACATAAAATAACACTTAATTTTAACATTTATTCTCTCTTAATTCAACCATATGCAGAGCATGCTGGGAACTAAAAGCACACTGCCCAGTTTCAGTTAAGGCAACACAAATCAATCATGTAATCCAACACAAACGGATTAAGTAAACTTAAGTTGTTCGTAGATTTAAGCAGATTGAACACAATAAAATTAAGTCCGGGCAAAATGGCAGTCGGCTCGCACTATATTGCCACCCTCTGGATGCACACATTTTTTTACTTAACATAAATGGTTTGTATTTAGACAACACATTAGGATTTTGTACTGTTAAGTTGACATAGACCTTAATAGAAAAAAAACATTTAAAGTCAAAAAACACAATTATTATAAGTAAACTATGTATAAATATATTATGTAAAGTGCACAACCTTCCTAGTTCATTTTTTTTGAGTGAAGACTGCATTCATTTGCTTAAAAATACAAAAATAAAAACAGAAATATTGTGAAATATTATTACAATTTAAAACAGCTGTTTTCTATGTAAATATGTTAAAATTGAATTTATTTCTTTGATCAAAGCTGAATTTTCAGCATCATTGCTCCAGTCTTCAGTGTCCTTACGAAATCATTCTAATATTATGATTTGATGCAAGAAATATTTATTATTAATGTAATGTTGAAAACAGCTATTTACAATTTTATTTCAGGATTCTTTGATGAATATTTCAAAAGAACAGCATTTATCTGAAATGGAAAGCTTTTGTAACCTTAAACACTACCGTTTTTATTATTTAAGTTTTGGGGGGAAATAAAAAAAAGAAATAATTTCTTTATCCAATGAGGATGAATAAATTGATCTAAAGTTACATAAAGACATTTATATTAAGATTCTATTTCAAATGCTTAAAAATGCTAAAATGCTTTTGAACTTTCTATTTCAATAATAATGAAATCCACATCAAATCCACATATTAGGATGATTTCTGAAGGAAATCATCTTTGATCACAGGAAAAAATTACATTTTAAAATATATTAAAATAGAAAACAGTTATTTTAAATTGTCATCATATTTAACAATATTACTGTTTATTTTATTACTGTTTATTTTTTAATCAAATAAATTCAGCCTTGGTGAGCAGAAGAGACTTCTTTTAAAAATATTACCGATCAAAATCTTTTGCACAGCAGTGTATAATCTAAATGTGCCACGGCCTCAAAATATTACAGTACCTTTTGATTGTATCATATCAAATTGCATGTTATCAAAATGTAAGCAGGGTCTGAGGCTCATTTTGGGGGGTCTTTGTTCATGGACTTAATTGCGATATACTGAATCTGTCTTAAATTAACTTCTGTCTTGTGTAAATGTAAATAGAAGTACACTTACCAGACGGCCCAAGCAGCAATGCACTGGCCCATAACCCCACCATGAGTTTACTGTCACTGCAGCCTCTGTTCAAACTCAGTTGCTCTGTATCTCTAGGTTCACCAACACCCTCTGCATCCTCAATCCTAGCACAGTCATATACACAATCTATTATCATAACCAGCTTGTCTCATTTTGTGTGTATTTATTTATGTGGGCTTATTGTTGCATTTATTGCAACCTGAAATTACCTGTCATTAATTTCCTCATTAGAGCTCTAAAAAATAAAGAAAAAAATGTCAAAAATCAGTGGATTATCTCACAAATGTAATTTAGTCACACAAATTTAAAGATTTATGTTGTATTAATTGATTATGAACATCTAAATAGAAAAACAATGAAACTGATTTAAGAGTGTTTTAGATTTTAAGTATTATTTTGGGGAATCAGTAGCCTACTTTTGAAACTAACTTCTTGTATTCTATTTCCAAGAAAAAAAAAGAAAAAACAAACAAATATTGTATTGTATTCATAACTATGATCAAATATCAATTATCTGCTGATAATGGTCCTCATGGTGTCAGGACAAATTACCTTTAATTTGATTTATTTGTTTTCCTTAAGTTTGAAAATTGAAGAATGTGATTTAACAGGTATTTTAAAGAAATCAACACTTCTGGGGCAAATTTCATCAGGAAATGTCCTGGTCATATTTCATCAAAAATCAAAAGAAAAAAAAATTCATTAAGTACATAGAAATACTCCAAATAGGATCAGTTTTGCTTTATGTTTATACATTTTGAATAATGTTGACTTTTGTTGAATGTGCATGTACAGTAATCAATTGGTAACACTACACACTAAGGTTAGTTAGTTACCATTAGTTAACTACCTTAGTTAACATAAACTTAGAATGAACAATACTTCTTCAGCATTTATTAATCTTAGTTAATATTAATTAGCATTTACTAATACATAATTACAATCAAAGGTTGTATTTGTTAGTAGTTAATGCACTGAACTAACATTAACAAAGATTAATAAAATACTGTAACAAATGTATTGCTCATGGTTAGTTCACGTTAAATACATAAACTAATGTTAACTAATTAACCTTATTGTAAAGTGTTACCAATTATTTCAATAACTTCAAATATTTATTCTTCTAACTGGCTCCACATGTAAGCAAGATGATCATATATACAGTGTGAATACATAAAGTGAATGAAAACATTCTCATTGCTGTAAGGAAAAACATAATAATCTCATAAATCTCCTGAAATTTGGCAAAAAGATTTCACACTCTGTTGTTTGATTTCATCAGTCAGTTTCCTTGGTAATTTCTAATTCTTTAGTGTGATGTTTTTGTTGACAAAGTATACTTAAAATGTTCATCATTTACCAGCACTTTTTTTACACTCCTGACTTCATTCACTCACCACAAGCATGGCATCTGTGGAGTGTGTGAGTGAGTGCACCAGGCTGGTGCGTGCCTGTGAGAGTTTCTCCAGAGTGTGTGTCCAGTGTGCTCTCTGGGTGAGAAGGCACTGCTCAACACGCTCTTCTTCTCTCTGAATGGCCTCTAGGAGACGCTGCTCTTCTTCCTCCAGAGCCTCACGCACCACTTTCACCTGAGCCAGCACTCGTTCTCTAGCACTGTTTGCATCAATCTAGCAATGAAATGACACAAGAGGCAATTACAATAACATATTACACAAAGAGGTTCATTAGTCAATGTATCGACTAACATGAACTAACCATGAGAAATACATTTGTTACTGTATTTGTTCATCTTTGTTACTGTTGGTTAATAAAAATACAGCTGTTCATTGTTCGTTCATATTAGTTCAAAGTGCATTCACTAATGTTAACAAGATTTTAATAAAGTATTAGTAAATGTTGAAACTAACATGAACGAAGATTAATAGATGCTGTATAAGTGGAGTTCATTATTACTTCAACTAATTTAGTTTAGTTAACTAATGTTAACTAATGAACCTTATTGTAAAGTGTTACCAAAATATCATTTGAAATCCAACAGAATAAGTTACCTTGGCCAAAAATATAGTAAAAAAATATAGTAATATCACAGTCCAATAACATTACCATGGTATGTGGTTGCCATTGTGTGAGTTTATGTAATGTTTATGTTTACGCAGAGAGTTTATGTAATGCTCTCTCTCTTTATCTCTGCATGTTCGCTCTGAAGTAGTAATGAGTGAATTCTTCAGCTACCTGTACAGCTTTCTCTCTGGCTGTAAGCGTACGGTCAATGAACCGTTCAATCCGCAGGGCTTGCAGCTGCATTTTTTCGCAGACATCCACCAACTGATTCTGTTTAATACAAGAATAATGATTCCAAGATCAAGAGGCATTAAACCAGCAACTGAATGGTATGCAGGTTGCAGGAATGTGAAGAAATGTGCAGATATGACCTGAATTTTTGCTGTTGTTGAAAAAGATCTACTGGCCCTCAAAAGTACTTGGAAGCTAAATGTGTGAATTTGTTTTCAGCTTCTTTTTGTGATTTTTTATTTTATTTTTTTATTTTTGAAAATGATTGCTTTCTAAAATTATTTTGCATTTTATGCTAAATAATGTTTTGTTATAACGAGTTCAAATACTTTTTTATGACCACTCTATAACACAGGTGAGTCCAGTATGTGAGCCCTCAGGTTCAGAAAATGCTCTGCATTGAAATACAAACATAATCAGTATTCGATCAATAAGTAATATAACATAACAGTTCTATGATGTTAAGAAATTAAGATTTTTTTTTTACGGTATGGTAAAAATAGTTAAGATAGGCTAGTTGTTCTAGTGAATACAACATTTGCAATGCAATGCAAAAAACAACAAAACAAAAACCTGCCAGAAAAAAAATACATAGCTATCTTTAAGAGAAACGTTTATAACATTTTATATGAGGGGATAGATAACTTCAGTTTTAACAAATGGAATATCTGATTGCAGTGATAAAATAATTTTAATGAAGCCGTTTCTTCCTCAAACTTAGTGAGCTTTTAGCTAACTTTAGGACGTCTGAAACGTACTGACGTAATGAAACTGACCACGCCCTCTCGATGAGAAGACTGCTGAAACTCTTACATGATTATTCTAACACAGTAGAGATATATTTTAAGGGAAGAATTAACATAACTTTTGTTATTAATTATTTTGTCAATGTTTTATGCCTAATTATTATGTTATCTAACTAATAATAGTGACTCACCCTTACTCCAGTTGCCCGGGTAACCAGCTCTGTCACTGTGTGACCCCGACAAGCTCCATCCAAAACACATTGCGAGCATGTCAGTCTCCCTTCTGTATTACAGTACAACTGTTGATCACATTCATGTTCTGGACACAGTTTCGCATCTACTGAAGCCGATACGGAGTCTGCACCACTGCCTACAGGGGTCTCCACATATTTGCGCACAGGTTTTGTCGACGATTCACCATTAACTATGACATTGGCGTTTAAAATGGGCTCTTCGCCTTCACTTCTTATTCGATCTTCCTGTTTTGGACGGTCGTCCAGTCCAGTGTCAGTCTCCAGGTCATTCACGTGCAAGGACACCGTTGCCAGTTCACAAAGTCTATAGTCCATACTCATTGCGCCGAGAGATAGCTAATATTTTAGGTTCCTTGGCAGAATGAAATATGATGGGTTCGCCTGGTTTCGCTGAGGTAGGCATGTACTGTAAAATACCCGTAGCGCAGGTGTATCCAGTTTTAGAGCCCTGCCTACCTATCGCAGGTGTATAACACGGAAGTGGACTGGTTGTCGAGTGCGCAAGTCTGAAATTAATGTACAGTTGTGGCCACTGGCCTAGTCACTCGAGTGAAACTTGGGACTTGAGACTTGACTTGCAATATGCTAATTTGTCATCTGATCTTGCAGCATATCGGCTGAAATCAGAAAACACTGCTCTAATGTGTAGCCTCATTCTCCATTCACTAGTCTATTTGCTACACAATTCTTACCATGTTCATAGACCACCCCCGTAATCTAATTCAAATAAAAATAAGATGGCACAATGTAATATAGCTATATATATATATATATATATATATATATATATATATATATATATATATATATATATATATATGAAGAGTTCAGATGCAAAAGCCTCTAAATGCCATTTGAAATTTTCTTCTTTAATGATGATTTTTATCAAACTTGTATATTTAAGTTCAGTAATTTCACTTAAATAACAATTAATAGGTAATTATCATTGCCATTTAAGTGAAATCACTGAACTTAAATATACAAGCTTGATAAAAATTATCAGAAGAAAATTTCAAATGGCACTTAGAGGCTTTTGCATCTGAACTCTTCGTATATATATATAATTTTATTATACAGTACTGTGCAGAAGTCTTAGGCACATTAGTATTTTCCCCTTTAAGCCAGTTATTTATATATTTATATATTTATATATTTTGTTGTAGTGTCTCAGTAGGAAATAACAGTTTACATTTCCAGACATTAATTGTGCCATTAATTGTAATAATCCAGTGAATTATTTGAATGCACAAAGATTCTGACAACAGCCAATGCTCCCCACGGAGGTCGGATCTCACCATCATCGAGTGCATCTGAAATTATATGAAGAAACAGAAAAAAACAGAGACTAAGACTAAGAACTGCGGCAATGTCTCGAAGGTAGTGCCTGCCTGCCTGCAAAGCTACAGTACTGTGAAAAAGTTTAAGGCACTTGTGTAAAAATGCTGTAAATGAGAATGTTTTCAAAAACAATGTCATAATCATAAATAGATTTTATTTATCAAATCACTTTTATTAGTTAACTATTATTAACTTTTAACAGTTAACTAAATCAAATCAATAGTACCCTTTACGTTTAAAACAGCTTTTGTCCTGCTATTGCACATAGTTTTTAGTTTTGCAGGTTTTTTCAAGCGTCTTTGGAAATGTTGCCGCAGTTCTTCTGGTCTTAGTCTCTGTTTTTTCTGTTTCTTCATATAATTTCAGATGCACTCGATGGTGGTGAGATCCGACCTCCGTATGGAGCATTGGCTGTTGTCAGAATCCTTGTGCATTCAAAAATTTCACTGGATTATTACAATTAATGGCACAATTAATGTCTGGATATGTAAACTGATATTTCCTACAGAGACACTACAACAAAATATATAAATAACTGGCTTAAAACCATTTTTATTTTTTTGCCTAAGACTTCTGCACAGTACTGTATATATGAAGAGTTCAGATGCAAAAGCCTCTAAATGCCATTTGAAATTTTCTTCTTTAATGATGATTTTTATCAAACTTGTATATTTAAGTTTAGTAATTTCACTTAAATAACAATTAATAGGTAATTATCATTGCCATTTAAGTTAAATCACTGAACTGAAATATACAAGCTTGATAAAAATCATCATTAAAGAAGAAAATTTCAAATGGCACTTAGAGGCTTTTGCATCTGAACTCTTCATATATATATATATATATATATATATATATATATATATATTGGAGAAAAAAAGTAAAATATTATAATGGAAATTTAAAGGGGAAAAAAAGTAAAATATTATGATGGTAATTTAAAAAAAAAAATTCAAGCTATTGGCCTGCAATGAAATTTATTGAGCAACAATATGATACAGGGGCAGGGGTCCACGAGTTCATGTGCTATAACTTTTTTATACATGGAGTACACAGCATTTTTAAAGGGGTTGCTAGACTCAAATCTTTGGAATCACTCAGATTCTTTCAAATTTCAGTCAGTTACCCTTTTTGAAGTACATCGATAAGCCAGATGGTGGCTACAACTATTGTCATTATGAGTGAGTTATTGAATCATTCTGATGCCAACTGCAACACGCTTTAAGCCCCAGTAGCTATAACCATCTTTCCATTTATCACATCAAAAACTGTTGAATGGAAACACCAAGATTCGAATATATTTTAAAAATCCAGATAAAAAAGATGTTCTCGTTTGAGTCGGATCATTTTTTTTTATCCGTTAAGAAAACAGGCGCATAATAATCTACGATGGAAACACATTTACCGAATATATTCTTTGATGCACATAAAAAAAAATCATGTAACTTTGCGATGGGACGGCATGGATGGCTGTCAGGACTAACCAGCTTGTTGTACAGCTTCTGAAATGCTGTTTTGGTTGTTCTGAAATGCCTGAGCAAAGTCTGTCGCCAAAGTGGTTCGTTATACAGTAATTACCTCACAAAGCTGCCTGACAGGACTGTGTTCCCAAACAGCAGCATTTGCCTTATTTATTATATAAAAAATACAAGTATTATATACAGTGGATTCTTCTACTTTTCTTAGTTATATTTAGTGCCATTTAATTAGTGACTTTTTTGTTCTCTTCAACTCACTGGATGGAATTAGTGCTTTATTTGCAAGTGTTTTATGTGATATCCCAATTTTGCGCATAAGTTAAATTCACAACTTTGGATAAAAACATAACTAGTGTCATACTCGTTACTTTGGGCATGCGAAATTGCTGTGGATGCTGCAGTGGTTGTAATAATGCATCACACTCTGCAGCATCTAATGAAGGACAATCCTTGGCTGTTCCGAAATAACTCCCTTTACAGTGGTATAGCGGACAGGCATGTACAGCTGGGGGCCCCACGAATTAGCACTCGCAAAGCAAGAGCACCCTCAAGTGACATTGTAATTATACAGTATCACTGGCAAAACAGATTTGGTAAAAAACTCAGTGTGTATTTGTGTTTTCACTCTGGAGAACATCAAATATTTCTGTTTACAACATTTTTGCAGTGATGACCAATGTAGCCAATCAGTTAATCTCTCGAATGCAATGGCCAGTCAGAGCTGTTTAAGTTAAAATCCATTCACCGCTTAAAACACCTGAGTTTATGTTCAGTGTTGCACACTGTCACGAACACACAGTCTTCAGCGCCAGACCTCGTCACTCCGCCCACTCGTTCCTCATCCCCGGAGTATTGATCACGGCCACCTGTCTTCATCAGCTGTCGGCAATCTTCAATCAAGCTCATCCTCCTTTATATTCACCTTCAGTTTCCTCAGTCCTTTGTCTGGTCTCGTCGGATTAACCTCAGACGTCCTGACTCACGTTGTTCGAATGAACTGTCGGCTATTTATACTTACCTGTTATACTCACCTGTTATACTCACCCGTTATACTCACCCGTTCTGAGCTTCCCGTGCATCTTCTGATTCTTCAGTTGGCATTCTGGTTCATCGTCTTCAGTCTGATTCCTGTCATCCACGCCTACAACAGATAAGTGACTTGGATTAATTTGATTCATCCATGCTGTTTCCAAAGACTATCCTTTTGAGATTATACTCACCTTCCGTGTCTGTTCTGTTGATCAATAAATTCCTCTATTGAACATACCTGTTGGCATCCTTCTCATCTGTGACACACACTCACGAAACCTCTCAAATAATGTGTAGACACAATGCAAGTAGAGATTCATTGTGCAGTGTAGACAGCTTCATTGATTATAATGGAACTTTGTAAGATCACGATGAACTGAGATTTTTTAATAATTCAACATGGGATCATGACTTTTGCGTAAACATACATGCCACTTTCGAGTCAAGTGGCATGTTATCTCTACGCATTTTGAGCTATCCGCATATATCCGCGTGTATGTGTGTATATCTACGCCATTAATGTCCGCGTCATTCCGCGTGTCTGTACACGCCGTCAAATGTCCAGTCATAAATGCCATTAACCCCAGTGACGGTTAGGTTTAGGGTCAGGGTAGAGGTAAGTCATATCTTTTTTTTTCCTAGGATGGTAAGGGAACAGTCATAAATGCCATTAACCCCAGTGACGGTTAGGTTTAGGGACGGGGTTGAGGTAAGTCATAGGCTGCATTTATTTATACAGTAATAACGTTAAGTCAACGGCGTTCATAAACATGCTGAAAAGCGATTATGCGTCTTGATAGCACGCCAAAAATGGAAATACGAATTGGCGTGTAATACACACGCTACTTCATGAGATCAGTCTGAATGATTATAATGGGAGTGCTCTTTACACACGTTTGAGGCTATATAATACACTGAATAATCCACTGTTTTGTTTTTCATGCTGCTTAGATCAGTGTTTCCCAACCCTGTTCCTGGCGGCACACCAACACTGCGTGTATTCTTTGTCTCCCTTATCAAACACACCTGATTCAACCCATCAGCTCATAATCAGGTGGGTTAATGAGCTGATGGGTTGAATCGGGTGTGTTTGATTAGGGAGACAAAGAAAACACGCAGTGTTGGTGTGCCGCCAGGAACAGGGTTGGGAAACACTGGCTTAGATGACTGACGGACAATTACACGCTGTAAAGTTTTGGAAGTGACATCCACATATAAATGCAGGCACACGAAGAAGATTAGTTTCAACGCAAAATTTAATAAAGATTAGGCTCTGGCTCACTTGTCATGGTGGATCAATATCTCACACATTCTCTGTGGTAGAAGGTGGTTACGCTGAGTCTGGTTGGGTCCTGGATCACCCTGGGACCGACGCTGTCTGGATGATGGATTCTCTCCAGTTCAGACCGCTGGTGTCTGGGAGGTTAAAGGAGAACTCCGGCGAACAATGAACCTTTGGTCTAATAAAACATCGGTACATAGTCAACCGTTCTCTGAGATTTGTTTTCATGATAATCGAATGTAAAGAGTTTTATCTCTAAAAACTGTTTAGCGTATAATGCTAGTAATGGGGGCATTGAGTAAGTAAAAAGAAATTGCTAGTTTATACCACT